TTTGTTCATGTTATGTCAAAAGTTTGTTTTATTATGTGTTCCACTCACAACAAGAATAGATACGGACACTCCAAACTTTATTATTGAAACAGAGGAAGCTAAAGAAATTAACATACATATGTAAATCTTTCTTGACTGTTGAAGAACTCGACTGACTGAAAACTGTTTATTTCTTTATAGTCATTAACGAACGAATGTTTTATAGTCATTAACGAACGAATGTATACAAGGTTTAGAATCTGATGCAAGGGGTGGGGGTATCAAGAAACAATTAACTTAAACGAATATATTTTATATAGTTAGGACCCCAATATCAAAACATTAATTTGGCACAAAAGTGTACTTTCATACTTGGATATACTTACTAAACAACGCAAATAATTGGTTTAAAAAATCTATTCTAAAATAATAAGTCCGTTATATATAGCAAACTCCTTTTTCTTCCTTAACAGAAAGAAGTCTGATTGCTTTACTTCAGTTTACTTATAACTATTTGACTGCATTAAATTGACTGACTGCATCTGAAAAAATACGAGAAATATTTTTACTGAACATATGTAAGTAGAGGAAAAGCAATATGTGGTGTGTCGTTTTATGAATTTGTTTTAATAACGTTTTATTTACTTACATGTACTTGATATAAAACTAAATTCATACTCCGTTTCAGCAATGATAACACTTCTGAAAAATACAAATCTCACCAATTCCCGCAGAGATTGCAGAATTTAGCACAATTTCCTTTAGCCCATTCTCGATACGATGCAGCTGTGCAAATGTCTGGCACAAAGTCCTTACAGTTATGAATGTTATCTGTGCAGGTGGTTGGCGATGTTGACAGAGTCGATGATTCTGACAAAATACATTTCGATTATCTTTTAATTTATATTCAGCATGGAGGGAACATACTAAGCAATATTATTCACGAAGAAATATATAATTATATTTAAAAATTATAATCTTAAGGAACTATTTGTCGAGTAAATGTTTAAAAATCTGGAAACAAAGTGATCCCTCGGAAGCATTAATCACAACAATATTACATGAACATTGCAGACTCGGTTTGGTTGAGTCTGTAAATGAAGGATAATGAATAAGTGCAACATCCCTCACGCCCCTTAGCACCGGCTTGGGCGGTTCGCAATTCTCAACACTTAATAGTGCTGGCATCAAGCCGAGTATCAATCATCTCCAGTACGGATATTGCAAATTTATCTACCCTTTCTGGACCCCTAGGTCATAAGCCTTTGACACCTGAATAGACTAGGCTGGAACATACAAGCATTTTTAAGGTTCTTAAGTGTTGAGTAAGTTTCATCTTGTTAATTATCCAACTGTTGATAAAAGGCGGTTCCAAGAAAAGAAAGGAATCTGTACAAGTCTATTGAAATAAACACGACAGGCTTATGGTTAATTTGCAAAGAGGAATTTCAAATCAAATTGTAAAGAACATGACAAATGATTTTCCAAACCTTGACAAAACCCACAATGTTTCCGGCAGTTATCCATTGCCCATGTCTTGTAATTTGAACACAACACGGTATCGAATTCTTCACACAAGTGTAGTTTATTGAAACACAAAGTTGTTGATGTTTGTTCGGTACCTAAAGACATTGTGTTGTTTCCTTGCAGTTCTGTTGTCATGTCTTAAATGATAAAATAGTGTATATTGTTGTTCGGTTGAACATAACAAAAAAAAAGAATTGTATATGAAAAAGGTATTTTTAATGAAACATATACACATGAAGCATTGTTATATACTTCGATCATTATTATTATTATTATAATTATTATTATTATTATTATCAAAATGTTAAAGGAATTTTCATTAAATTTAATTCATTACACATTCCTAATATATTGAGTCTTAGAAACTAGGAAACGAAACACAAAACAAAGGAAGTGAGGTTCATGTATAATTTGACGTTTTCATCAATTTAAGATAGTAAGCTGTATGACAAATGACGACAACCTTCATATTTATCTTATGGCTAGTATTTTCTAAGCCCATTGTTTTATATGCGTAAAATTGTCATTTCTTATGCATTATCATTGCAAAGGATAAAAATACTACTTTAGATTTAACACAAATTAACGGTATATTTATAGCGCTTGATTTCGAATTGAATGTAGCTGATAAATAGGTTGTCTTTCAAAATGTTTTCCCCGTATTTCTTATCAATTCGTAAATAGTTTACTGAAGACAAACCGAGCAAAACTACTTAAACAAGTGTGCCTTTTAAGTTACCAAACGAAATTACGTGTCGTAGTGACTACTTAACAAATATTACATAATGATGGCTTTGAATGATATGAAATATTCTAAACCAACCTTTACTTGTTGGAGCAGGAGTGGTGCTATTTGTTTGAAATGAGGTCACCGGGTATGGAACATTATTTGGAGTCGTAGTTCCGCCTGAAAAACAATTATTTTGTATATGTCGTATTTGTATTAATTACACCATGTAAACTGTAAACTAGAAAATAAAATTCATAAAAAAAACGAAACTGTAGAATTGAAATTTTGATTTGATTGGGTCCGCTACTATATCTTATTAATTTTCTAAAAATCAGAAATTTCGTCAAAGACAGTGTTTTCGCTCCACGTCCCGCTATTTTAACTTGTTAATTCTCGACTTTTCGCTTGGTGGGATCGCGTGGCAAAACACGCTTTTTAGCGGGGGCGCGGGGCGAAATTTTGTTTATCTAACTTCGCCCCGCACCCTCGCTAATTATCATGTTTTCGCTCCGCGCCCTGCCGTTTTATTTCTTAAATCTCGCTCCGCGCCCCGCGGGCCGACGTTTAATTTATTGAACTTCGCCCAGGGCCCTCGCTAATTAGCGTGTTTTCGCTCCGCGACTCTGCAATTTAAATTTTTAATTTTCGACTTTTCACTTGGCGGGTTCGCGTGATGAAAACAATCTAATTAGCGGAGGCGCGGGTCGAAGGTTTGTTGAAGTATTGAATGTAGCTGGTAAATAGGTGGTCTTTAAAAAATGTGTTCCCCGTATTTGTTATCAATACATAAATAGGATACTAAAGACAAACCGATGAAAACTACTTTAACAAGTGTGCCTTTGAAGTTGCCAAACGTTTTTCGTGTCGTTGTGACTACTTTACAAATGACACATCATGATGGCTTTGAATGATATAAAATATTCCAAACCAACCTTTACTTGTTGGAGCAGGAGTGGTGCCTTGTGTTGGAAATGAGGTCACCAGGTATGGAACATTTTTTGGAGTTATAGTTCCGCCTGAAAACAGTTATTGTGTATGTGTCGTATTTGTATTAATTACACCATGTAAACTAGAAAATAAAATTTATATGAAAAATCAGAAATTTTGTCAAAGACAGTTTATAATGGTAGCTGATTTGTGCCATTCGTGTTTTACTCCGCGACCCCACCAAGCGAAAAGTCGAGAATTAACAAGTTAAAATGGCGGGGGCGCGGAGCAAAAAGTCGCTTATTAGCGGGGGCGCGTGTTTTCGCTCCTCGTCCCGCCATTTAAACTTGTTAATTCTCGACTTTTCGCTTGGTGGGATCGCGTGGCAAAACACGCTTATTAGCAGGGGCGCGGGGCGAACTTTTATTTATTTAACTTCGCCAAGCGCCCTCGCTAATTAGCATGTTTTCGCTCCGTGTCCCACCGTTTTATTTCTTAAATCTCGCTCCGCAACCCCGAGGGCTGACATTTAATTTTATTCAATTTTTCCCCGCGCCCTTGTTAATTAACGTGTTTTCGCTCCGCGACACTGCCATTTAAATGTTTTATTCTCGACTTTTCGCTTGGCGGGTTCGCGTGGCGAAAACAAGCTAATTAGCGGAGGCGCGGGTCGAAGGTGTATTTATTAAACTTCGTCCCGCGCCCCCGCTAATTGGCGTGTTTTCGCCACGCGACCCGCCGTTTAATTTCTTAAATCTCGACTTTTCGCTTGGCGGGGTCGCGGGACGAAAACACGAATGACACAAATCAGCCACCATAGTTTATTTCTATATGTACTGCATCTTTTTTTAATCAAATAAATTGCATTCTAATTTTCATATGCACACAAGTTGTTTATTTCTGTTTTCTGAAACCGTTTAGAATTATAATTGCAATGCTTGCCACAAAATCCACAGAAACGGGGACAATGCTCTTTCGACCATCTTCGGTAACCTAATGAGGTGCACAAATCAGCGCCGTATTCGTTACAATTGGCAACCGTATCGACACAATGTTCAACTGGAGTGGGGGTCCCTTAAAACAATAAAACAATTAAAAAAATCATAGATTTCGGTTGTTCATGACATAATTTACATTTAAAATGCGCATGTAACTACACTTAAGCGAATAAACTGTATTATCCCTTCATAATTAACAAAAATTATGTCGAAATATATATATTTTGTAAGAGTTTATTTTAATGTTCTATAAGATCTACTTCTACATCTATTTATAGTATTCAGTGGGTCAGATTTAGAATATTTCTGTTTCATAAAAAGCTCGAAGTAACAAGATATATATATAAGATAGTTGATCAACAATCTAAACTCTTGTAAGTGATATTCTAAAATTAAATATTAATCATAGAATTATAGTTAATTATAGTTCATTATTTTGTGAAATACAGCGTCTTTATATGCAAATAAATGTTACAGCAAATTCATATCTTTATCGTATTTTTCGAATATATAATGATAAATGAAAGCTTAACTGATAAAAATTTAAAAAAAAATTATGTAGTGATTCTGATAAATGTAAGAACAATAATGAATTAATTCTGATAACTGCAAGGATAAAAGGTTGTACAGGGAAACAAATAATCGCTTAAAACGTACTATTCTTTTCGTTTTTGTTTATATAAGTGGAAAGCTAATGTTTGCTAAAGAAACTATATTTTTAAACAGAACCTATGCAGAATCCGCAAAACATTCTACAGTGTTCCATTGCCCAGGGCCGATAACTTGAACACATGTCCTGGGTGTATAAATCACAATTGTCGACTTTATTGTAACAAGATGAGTTCAAACCAGACGAAGGCAGCATAGGTGTCTTGGGTGGTACTGTTGGTATTTCAACTGTGAAAAAATATTGCTTGTAACAGATATGAAAATATATCTAAAAGAATAACATTTAGACATGCGGAATATCAATCATAGGAAGAGAAATTGTACATGCGTTAGAAAACGTTTTTGTAAAACTATTTATATTTATTTCTTAAAATTATTTACTCTATATACACAGACATATGACTCTTTATCTATATGAATGTGCTAAAACTTTTATATTCCAGCCACATTGACATATATTCAATTGTTTTATTTGTTGATTCTTCAAGGACGAAGACTTCGCAAAAGGACAAGAATATTATCAAATGCTGTTACATTTTGGTGTAGACGGGATTGAAGTAGTTGTCGTTGGAGGTCCTGCAATAAAGATAAAGATTGCGTCATTCACTTAATAAAGTACATTTTATTCATGATAAACATTTTGGTTATCTATATTGATTTTATATTGATTTTTGTCTGAGTTTTACTAACTACCATCAAATATGTTGTCTGAGTTTTACTAACTATAATCAAATATGTTTATCACTACACCTTAGAAAATTGAATTTACCATATTCAATGGAATTTTTTAAGCTAATGTTTGTTTAATTGTTATGAAATCTCGAAGCTCAATTAACACCACTTTCAAGTCGTAACCAGAAATCGTGGCATATGAGGAATCTACGAGCCAGTTGATTGGAAATAGGCACCCAAGCCATTAAGACGTCACTGGCTTATAACCCATTATAATTATACAGGTCTAAATGAAAGACATAAAAACTTATAATATAATATGAATGCAACTACTAAAATATATATTTATCTAAGAACAATAAGAATGGCATACCACAAAGTCCACAGTAGAGCGAGCAATGGTCTTTTGTCCATTTTCTAAATGCGGTCGAATTACAGATGTTAGGACCGTATTCGTGACAATTATCTATCTTATCAAAACATATCTTTACAGGGGTAGTGGTGCCTAAATAAAAACGAGACATTACCTTGTAACGAAAGTGCGAATGATTTATTATGCCAAATGAATCATGAAAAAACTTCAGGAACAAATATATAAATAAATGTAATTTGAGATACATTAGAATCTAGTATAATTCGAATTTATCGATAAAATATTTCAGTTTTTAATGAATGCATCCGATCGGAAGCAATTTACAATATAATATATTAATTTCGACGTCTTAAGAAAAAAAACTTCTCGACGGTAAGTTGCTTACAAGTCAGTCATTGAATACTAATACTAACTCTTGCGTCCCTAAAAAGGGGTGCAATTAATATATAGTTGTTCAAATGAGAATTTATGCTGTTATATTTTAGTGTTATGCTTAATGAAGTATATACGAGTTACATATATCTGTGTAGTCTTTTTAAGAATAAGCACGCTATCAAGTTTAGTAATTTACATCTAATATGTTCAGGCAATGTCATTACCTTGACAAAATCCACAGTATTGATTGCAATGAGCCATGGCCCATGGTTTATAGCTTGTGCACATATCTTGCTTATATTCATCACAATTCTTCACTTTGTCATAACAAGGGGTCGATGTAGAATGAGACGTGGTCGTAGTGGTTGTCGTGGTTGTTTCTGGTGATGTAGGCAGGATTTGAACTACAACATAAAATATTATACTTGTAGTTAAGTCAAACTTACCAAATTTAAATTAACATGTAAGTAATCGTGCTTAAACCAATATAACACTTATCAAATGTCATTGTGAATATTGCGGATACATCCCTAAAAAACAATTATTATAACGGTACAAAATGTACTGTTGTACTGCCCACTAATAACTTAAAGTTGTACATTTACTAGACGTCAATTAAGAAGAAAAAGGCGACGCCCATTCAGACTGTGTCACCTATGATTCGTGTACAATCGGTATGCAATTAAATGTTTTAACTATAAGTTCTTTTTTACTTTTATCATCATTTGTCAATATTTGTTGCAAGCTGTAAAGAATCTAGTTTCACAAACAGTTTTTATATAATTTTACATAATTTATTATTATCATAAATATTTTTACAACAAACAGTTAAATAAGTATTCAAACAATAGAACTATAATTATAATTGAATATCGTTCATGTAAACATGACACTTCAGTAGTTAAGTATATCTTGTCATCAACTTTGTTTACACTTACTTATATTTACATACGAGTATTTTTATGATATTTCTGATATTAAGGCACAACGTTTCTTATAGAAAATGGAATGCTTGTCCCCGTAAACGGTGAACGGATATTACCATGTTACTGTATAACTTTTATACCTGTACTTTTATTTACTTTTTAAACCAGCAAATGTATTTATAATACGTTTTCATTTTTGTCTTGGGATGAAACAATTTGGAAGATATTGACATATGTCAATTAATCTTGTTGCTTTAATGAAATCGAAACAAAACTTTAAACAAAATGATAAGACTAATTCAAATGACTTTCAGAAATCAGTTCACCAGTAGGTTTGTTACGTAATTAAATGAATTTAATATAATGTACATGCAATCTTATGTAAGCAAGGTCTGATTAAAATGCATTCGATACATACAACCACATATGACACTAGTCAACACATTTTCAAGTGACATCACATGCAGATCGTCAAAATCGTCCACGCTGTAAAACAGACTTTGATTTGTGTATGGATTTTCAGTTGCTATATCAACAAGCTCATCAAAGTCAACATACTGTCCGACAGCTGTCGTTACAATCTGTATCAAATTATTCTCTTTAGCCAATGTTGCCTGAAAAAGAAATATTACTTTCGTAGGTTGTCATTTATTTATATTTATTCATTTTTACTATTAGATCAATGGTCCTATACTTCTAAATGTATATGTATGACAATTTGGATTTTTTTAGATAAAACATTAAAAACTTTAAATGTACGAGTTAGTATTGACATTTTACAACAAAGGCACATATTTGGAAAACAGATAATAAATTCTTTCCTTACATTGTCAAACGAATAGCATGTGCCCTCTGATGAGATATTGAGATATTTTATGCAAGATAGTTTAAGTAATTTAAAAAGATAACAATTTTACTGATAACGTTATATACATGAATTTCAATTAAAGCGTCTACCTGAAGATGTGTGGCTGTTTTGTTAGAGGAATATCCATCTGTTATTACAAACGCAATGTTTGGCGCTCCAGCACGATCATAAGTAAAACCTTGTGTGCGAGCAAACTCTAAAGCTTGCGCTGTTTTACAAGAAAGAAAACAATAATTAGACGAAAATAAATTACCAACTATTATTTATTACTTTAGAATTAAAAAGAAAACTATCAACGATTGTTTAACAACTGAGCAGCTGCCCTTATAAAATAATCACGAAAGACAAAGTAAACATTTACTGCGCTAACTTCCAATAATAACTCTTCAAGTCTCAAATGGAGTAGTGGAATATTTTGCAACCAATGTAACGCCATGTACATAAGTCAATCAATCTGATAAAAATCAGCTCTAAATAACGCTCCGCTTTTAGATCTGACCGTGACCATATACGAAGTCATTTCTAGTGACCTTTCGCATAGCCAATCATCAGCGAGCTTTTATCATTTTGAAAGCGGTGTGGTTTCTAATTTTAACCCTGGTAAAACCAATACTGAGTAGGTAATTTTCACGATTTCGAGAACAAACATGTCGTTGTCCATATAACCGACAGGTAAACTGCCCATTAAAAATTGACTATTATTTCAAGTTAAATTATTAAACATTATTTCAAACATTTTTTTTCTAACAAAAATCAACAAGTTGTTAAGCATGTAACGGTATTTTGATAGTTTTCTAATGCCTATGTAAAAACCGGTTTGATTGCATGGCTAAATGTAGCTTTCTCGGGAAATCCGAATTATAAAGAAGGCGAAACATATACGGTCGTCATCAGATAAACATAAAAGAAATAAGTAGATCTGAAGTTTAGTCAGATTGATAAGTCAATGTATATTAAAGTGTTTTGATCTTAAGATATACTTAAACTGAATTTCATTTTAAAAATACTACACCCAGAGTCAGATTTATATTTACATTTCAATAAATGCCTTTGAGATACCTGTATTTGTTTTATTAGCTGGCTTGTATACTATGTTATCTACAGCCTGTTGTATGTCTTGTGATGTATCATACGCGTCCAATGCAAACACCAATGTTGCATTTGTGTTGAAAAGAATTAACCCCACACGTGTTTGGTTTAATCCAATATTAAACGTTCCAACAGTTTGTTTGATAAATGTCTTCACTTTCATGAAGTTCTTCTCGCCAACTTTAGTTGAACTGTCCACAAGGAACAAAATGTCTTTAACGTCAGGAACACAATCTGAAAGAAACGATCACTATATAGATATGACAAAGATACATGATAAATACTTGAAAACGGATTAAAGCAACGTTTTCGAACATTAACCATGTATAACATGTACATCTTAAATGTATTCAATTGGCTTTAACGCATGAAAAAATATAGAGATATGTATATGAGTTAAAATGATTGGTATATATGATAATCATACATACCCGAGGTGTCATTTCCGCTGATCAGCCAGGGTGATCTGTATACAGAAACATGACATGTTTTTCATGCAATATATTTAACATAACATGAACGACGATTATTATTTTCAACCTATGAAGCAATTTTGTAAACTAATTATCCCTAAAAACATCTACCTGTATGTAAGGTCTTCTTAAATTTGATTATATTACAAATGTATGTCGACATGTTGTATATATTGCTAGAAAAATACTATTATTCATTTTTATTATCATCAGTTAAATGATTGTAATACATTACAGGAATAATATATAATTGTAATGATAAAGAAATAGAGCATTACATATACCAGTAAAACATCAAAGATCTCTTATTCTAATATAAGACCATTTAGACCATTTCAAATCTCGAAATATATAGTCATGTAAGTAGTTTTGATTGTTGTGGGCAAGTGATTTTTATTTGTTTGGGTCGTGAGACCAAACAAATAATGGTAGCGAAATTTCAGACCCTGATGCTGTTAATTGCAAATGCCGAAAGTTGTCCGCTTTTTTGAAGCGGTTACTTCCCTTTATATGAACACTAACACTAAAAATTCAGGGGAGATCACTGCGTAAAAGTGGTCAAATGACAGGCGCATTAATTTTCAAGCAAAATGAATCCCGAATGGTCAAATATTTCTAATATTGTTTTATTCTTTATAGATATACATGCTTATAGTAAGCTCCATGATTATTTGCATCTATGTTAAACAACAGTTAGAGTCAAAATAATAAGGGTTACAAACCCTTATTTAGAATAATATGGTTTTCTTCAGGCCGTTAACATATAACTTCACCGTGGCCGAGGCGTTTTGCGCGCTCGCACAGGAAGCGAGAGGTCTGGAGTTCAAATCCGAGTTAAGGCAACTCATTTTTTTCAAATTGTTTAAGTCAAATAAATATTGAATTGGATATCAGTGTTGCAATTAGTCTTATAGCCAATTTACTACAATTAAAACGCTGGAAAGCATTGGTGGCACTTTACAAAAACAAATTGGTTTATAATCTCAAAACCTTCACATTTCTGACATTCTGAGACCCAAACAAATTCAGCGCCTTCTGTGCTTTGATTAAACTAGCGCCTTCTGTGCTTCGATTAAACTAGTATTCTATAACTCACAATGAAATTTACTCGTGGCCATGATGACTCTAGCAAATATAAATATATGCGTTTCTAATGATAATGTTTGTACATAGGTATAAATATCTATCTAAATTAGTAAGGAATAAACCAGAACATTTAAGAGAACCTTGATGACGTCATCAACTGATGTGTTGTTGTTTGCGTTGGTGTAGTTGTCGAAGGAGTGGTTCTTTGCGTTGTTAAAAATGGAATATCTGCAATCAAAGTCCAAAAACGTATGATATTATGTAAAATGTTCACATAGATTAGTACAAAAAAGATTGAAAAATAACTATTATGAGGTTTCAACTTGTTTCTCATTCATTTTATAAAACATTTCCAGTATAATACGTGAAATGAAAAGTACCACAGTTACGAAAATAATATCACAGGTGAACTCGAACCTCGTGGTTATGCGTACTACACTGTACTATGCAGCAAATTGAAATCAAATATGAATATCCAATAGTTTCTTACAAACACAGTTCATCGACGATAGATGTTGCGATTTGCTCTGCTTATATACAATAAACTTTTAACACATACATAGAAATTGTCGGTGTTAGACGTTAAACAAATAGTTAAACGCCTATTCATGTTTAGTATGAATGCTATTAAGTTGTGTCCTAAACGGTTTTCACTCAAAGAAAATAAGAACATTTTTATTTTGCTAAATATATGACAACTCCTAAAGTGAATATGTAAATAGTTGGTTTCTCATACTTAAGCGCTGGTAATGAGATGGCCTTTTTTATCGAGGCATCTTTTACGCGACTGTAGGACGAAAAGCATTTACGCTATAGTACTGACAAAGTAAGTTAGTTTTAGACAAAAGAGGTACACAAACTAATAAAAATAGCTCTAGAAATAAAAAGACACAAAGTTGATTTTTTTTAATTATCTTCATACTTACCTTTACAAATGGTTTTAGCTACAACACCTTCGAAGCTTGACAGGCCAAGTTCATCGAAATTAGACACTGTGAAAACATGGTCCTTAGGATCACTTGAAATTGATCCTAGTTCTTGAGCATTAACTTTATCACCTATACCTGAAAAGCCGTAATTGCTCTGTTACTTGAAAATATATTACTAGTACTAGCAAAAAGTATTACAACGCTCGCTGTAATTGAATTGTACCCAATAACAACAAATTTAAGTAAAGCTTGTGTAAGATTATAAATAAAGATAATGTTAATGAATAAAGATTATACTTTAACCTAAAATTTTATGACAATGACGTAAAATAATATCATTTAAACGTATGTATTGACATTGTGGCTCATTGCAAGTAATTAATGCTATGCACAGCCTCAAAACAGTTAGTCAATCATGTTAATTTAAAACAGATAATTTTCATGAAAACAATTTCCAGAAAAATACATTTAACTCATGTTGTTGATAGATTGAGACTCATGCTGATGATTTAAAATTAAATGTTTTTATCAAACCATACCAACAACAAAAACTTCAACGCCGCTTTGTTTCAGCTCGTCAGCCGCCCTTGTAGTAAGAAATGTACTTGTAGAAGGACCATCAGTAATCAAAATTGCAATGTCCGGTGTTTCTTGACGATGATTTAAAAGTCCTTCAATGCGAAGAAGTTCCAAAGCCCTGTCTGTTTCGCGTTTTCCTAAATAAAATTATAACAAAATACATCAGCAATGATTATCGTAATATAGGTTTATGTTTCTGTTTTAGTTTGGTCGTTTCATCTTTCTCATTTTTCATATTATTCTTTTATCTTTTTTATATCTTGTATTCAATATCATTTAATTAATATATGAAATGTGAATCCAGAAAAAATGCCTAATATTCCCATTTTTCATAAAAATAACCATTTTTTAAAAGTTTGTGTTAACTTTGCAATTTTATTACAAAAAAATAGATAAACTAGTTAAAGGGCACGAATGCTCAAATTATACTGATTGAAAAGAAAGTCAATGTTTACCTGTGAAGTACACTAGATTGTTGATAAAGTTAAGAACCTCAAGTTTGGCATTTAGTTTGCCTAGTTCCAGGCGAAGTAAAGGATATGTACTGAACGTTATGACTCCAATCTGAAAATCATTTAATACTTCATATCACCCACTAGCTATCGAAAGAGTTGTTGCAGAAAAGTGGCGTACCTTACCCAGATTGCTACAGAAATGCATTGCATTGAATTTCGCAATCTCGTATTTCCCCCCCCCCCCCCCCCCCCCCCCCCCCCCCCCCCCCCCCAATCAAAAAATTATTTAAATACTTTAATCACTACCTTTTCAAAGATTTGTTGCAGAAGGGGTAAATTCCCTGATTGACAAAAATGTTGCATTAAATTTCGAAAATCTCGTTTTTCTTTTAGTTTATACAAATTTATTTTAGTTCGATTGTGTCTGAAGCTATAAGCTTATTGAAACACTCTCGAATCCGTTCCTGGAATCAACCAGTACTAAGCAATGAATGTAAAGTTTCTTGTTCAAGGAAACAACGGCTTGGTCCTGACAGGGTTTGACCCCACGCGGTCAGCAATCCTTAGATTACTAGTCCGACGCGTTAACCACTCAGCCACGCTTTTGAAAATTATAACATCTGTATTTTTTTTAAAAAATAGAATCATATCATAGATACAAAATAAACTTTTAACAAATACAAAAGATCTACATATAATACAATTCCTAGAGACATTCTTTTGCTCAACATTTTGTTCTTAATTTGTCAAAGATTAATGCTTATTATTTGTTTATATTTACGTTTTGACTAGGAATTACAAAATTCTTTGATTGAAATACTTATAAATACGTATTTATGGTTTAAACTATTTTATTTCTTATATAATTGCTTTTTCATTTTTACTTTTGATCTTTTTCCAATTTTTTAACTACTAGGAGGACTTGAAACAGGGAATTCTTTAACAATTTTGATATAACTATTAATTTAAACTTATATCCCGATATTTTATAATTTAAGTGCAATACATCGTGTATCTAAGGTAGCACACCACAGTAATGTAAGCCACAGCTTCGAATGGCCAGGGAGGATTCTTGGATATAGTGAATATTCTTGATTTAAATGACTGGTTGTATTTAAAGTACATTTTCACCATGAAATTTGTTTTTGTGTCATCTAATATGATCAGCAAAGCCAGAAATGTCAAGGCCGCCATTTTTTGTAAACATTGCTTTTAAACAGCATGCACGGTAAAACAAGTCATTTTACAGGGGGGTGGGGGGTGCTAAAGTAGAGATGTTGTTCCTTTAGGCTGTATGTTCGCAGATATTTGTTGCCAGAGGGACGAAATGTGTTGTTTTGGGTCTCGGGCCACTGTAGATGTTGGGCTTCAACGGAATGAATTGTAACTTTTTTGACTGCCTGCCTATTGCAGATGGGATAATTTCATTGTAGATTTGCAATCTTGTGTCATATATGTTCTCAACAAAATGTGTTTTCTTTTTTAAGGTTGTGTAGTTTGGTATCAGAATTATTAGACGTATTGCTTGTAGGACATTGACGGCAGGAACTTGAAATTAACTGTGGAGTGCTACCTAATGTCACTCGGTGTGATGAATCAAATAAACATATTACCCGTGTAGCATTATCGGCTATGTCAAAGTCATTGACGATGTCCAGTGCAAAACGTTTGACGCTTTTGAAATGGGCTGCTCCAATTGTAGTAGTTGAATCTATGACAAACACTATATCTGCAGCCTTTCCAATACATTCCGCTAAAATTATAAGTTTCGGTGCACTTTACTTAAAATTTGCCTCGCTTTTATTCCTAACAATTATTAGATGTGCGTCTAGTTAAAAATATCTAAAAATGCTACAAAACAACAATTGTTCACCAAAATAATGTGAAAGGCCACGTGTTAGCATAGAAAAACTAGATTTTGGGTAATTCCAAGGTTTTTCATCATTTTTTGTTTACCCTTTACTTCATATAGACGTGTTTTGACGGCTTTTCGATCCCCCTTTTTTGAGGCCTCAAACAGTGAAAATTTTCCCTATTTAGGCCCCAAACAGAGATCACTGATGGCCTCAGGTCGATCGTAAGGTAACGCTGAAAAGCATTTTACTCCATCTCAAACCATTGAGAAGTTGCAGCACTTTGGAATAAGTTTGGATGGAAAAAAACAATGCAAAATAGTGATTTTTGGCAATTTTGAGACGTGCCTACGTTGCCATGGTAACGGGAAATTAAAGATTGAGCATGCTGTTACAGAGAATATGGTCCAGTCAATATTTGTGCCAAGTGTCATCAGTATTGAAGCATTTTTGATAGTTTCATAGCAGTTTGAACTTGTAACAGAAGGCGTTTCAATGAAAAGCGGCAATTTTTCACAGTATGCTCATGAAGTAAAGGGTTCAATATAACAAGAAAGCATTTAACATTTTTAGATATCAATTAATTAATCTATTTAAAGGCTTCCTTGCAAGTTATAATTACAATTCATTCAAGTTAATGTCAATATTTATCAATATGTATAATTATATATTTACGGACAAAAATAAGTTTTTTCATCTTGATGGCACGAATTTCGTTTTCTATTTTGTTGAACAAATTAAATTATTGGTTAAATATTTTTGACTTACAAACTGGATCACCGTATGTATGCTGGAACAGAATCGGCTCTGAAAAGAATTCTAGTAACTTATAACCAAAACAAGTAACACAAAAGTATTTCTACTACAGTGCTTAAAAGATTTTAACAATAGCCTGTGGTGTTAATCATAACAATGTTATCTAAGAGAAATACATGAAGGCGAGCCTGAATATTTGTGCCATTTGATAATTTCTTGAATTGTTTGCAAATTTATGTTGTTTTTTACAGACCGTTTGTTCTTGCATAGACGATTATAAATGCGCAAAAAGTTCATTGCTCCTGCAGCTGTTGTTGTTTCATAATTGTCAGAAGGGTATTATACCGACATACATTGTTCATAATTCGTTCAAATGTCTTTTGTCAATTTGATGGGTCATATTTATGTAAATATCCTGTCGCTGAATTCATTTTTCATATCTTTTGCCTTATTCTCATACATAATATACCCCATTTCAAATGTCATTTCAAAATTACTAACTACTAATTACTTCTGTACGTGCCTCATAGCATTTACTAACGCTTAGACAAATGAAATATACGTCTTTTTATATGGGTCACGAAACGGTTCGTTGCCTTTTAAACTAATTATACTTGCTTCCGTGCCAATACAGGTATTTTTGGTTGTTATTTATCTTTTTAAGATGATTACGTTTAATTATTAAAATGACATAAATGTTGGTAGTTTTTGCACAAGACATTTACTTATAATAAGATTGCGTCATTTAGTACTTTGTTGCGTTGTTGTTTCATCTATTCAATTCATTTTATTTGTTCCCGTGCATTTACAGGTCGAAAACACTCCATTCGGTCTTAGGCAAGAGTAATCCTACAATAAGTTTACACAGTAACTAACATAGGTCCTCAGATTTGAAAAGTACTTACTTGGTGTTGTCATTGGCGTATAACTGTGCGCTGAAACTAAATAAACAAATCGAATGTCATTTTAACCAATAGTTTAGTTAGCATATAACAGGAGATTATGTAATTATTTGGATGTTACATGAATTATGTGATGTGACCAAAGCCAAAGCAGGTTCATATATTACCAAGTAGAATGTCAATCATGTATTAATTCATTTGTTTGCCTTAAAATGTTATCGTTTGTGACTGTAATTCATGTAGTTTAATTCGTTTTATGATTAAAGAACTAAATTAAAAAGGTTTTTAATATTTACTACACGAATTCGGAAAATAAATCTCTTATTACCATCACATGTCAGTGTAGTCAGTTTTTCGATGATGCTGGGCAGTTCTTTGTAGGTTTCGACTGTCAACAAGTGGCCACTATCAGGATCAGAGGCAATGGTGTGCAACTCAGTTGACGCAACATTATGTCCAATTCCAACCACAAACACCTGGATGCCTGGAGCATTTAATATAAAGATGCACTTTTAATGTCTTTGTAAATATACGTCAAATGGTAGTTGGTGAATTTTGTTTCGCTTTTTCAGTTTAAAACAGCTTTGTATGTCTTAAAGTAATATACAATATCGTCTCTTGCTAACAATAATTGGACATAATATGTCTCTGCATCATCGCACATGGCACATAATGGTATAATGGCACACATGGTATAATGACAAATAAGCATGAAAGTTATTGAAAAAATGTTGGACACTATACAAAAGAAATCAATATTTTCTGTAGCTACTAATATACGCACATATGCCTCCTCAGAATAATTAATGTACATAAATATGGCACATTACTCTTATGAAGACAATAATCATGACAATAATTAAAACAATTGTTAGAAATCATAAAAACGCTTTCAATCATTACCATGTGAGTGTAAAGAAGCTGCAGCATCTGAAGTGTCCTTCGTATGAAGAGATTTTCCTTCTGTTATCAGCATCGCAACATGCGGAATATTAGACCGGGATCCAAAATATCCCTCACGTTGCAACAGGCTCAACGCCGTATGTGTTTCTGTCAAACCTTTCAACGATATGAACGAACAAATGGAAATCAAAAGAAATCAAAGAAATCTTGGGACAACATCTTTTAACAACAAACAAATTTTCCGTAATTTGGATTTATACGAGATATTTACCTTTACATAATACACTTATTCCAATGTTCTATTTACCATTTATATCATCCATTTCCAAAAATATTAGGGGGGTAACAAAATGACGTTCATATAAAATTGTTTAAGGCATAGTTTGCAAAATTTGTCACATACCTGGTACGTATGGCACACTCTTTATGTCATCCAGCACTTGCGTCTTATTCTCCGTATCAACTATGCTGAGTCGTATAATCGGGAACCTGCTGAATGTCATCAAACCCACTCTTGTTTTACTCTGAGCAATATCTAAAACTTGCGAAACGTTCCAGACAAAGTCTTTTACTTGGCTGAAATGCGTTTGTCCTATGCTTCCGGACGAGTCAAGAAGGAAGAAAATTTCCATCTGCTTTCCAAGACATGCTGGAGTATAAAGTATAACACTGGTTGTCCTTTGGACGGAAAAAAATAACAACGAAATAAATAGTTAAAGCATGTTAATTTATAGAAAACCTATAGGAAGCAGACGTCAAATAACTTGCTTTATTCTACTTGTTATTTTTAGTTAAATAAAAGCGGAAAATGACTCCGGTCCAAAATAATAAGCCACACTCAAAAAATACATTTAAAATATGAAACATACAGATCGAATACTAAAGCTCCTGGTTGTCTTGCTTAAAGGTTTCACTAAAATGTCAAATTTCCACCATGTTAGCATATTTCTCAAATCAATTCCCGAAGGTTGACAGGTTTTAAGGATATCTTGATTTTGGGTTAATTTTTTAGGTATAATAGCCTTCATGAGACATTAATTGCGACGTTCGATGCAGAAATATTGGCCTTTTACTAGCTAATATTACTAACTAATAATCACATAATGTCTACATCACATCAACTTAATATGTTGCCCCATGCCATAAAGTGAGGACATTAATTTCTTACGGATGCTATAGTGATTGAGTAAACGTAGTCCAGGATAAGTTTTGTTTGAAACATAATAAAAATGTTAGTCATTAGTTAAAAGCTTATTTAGTTGTAAATATACAAAATTAATTTCAGATCGCCGGTGAAGGAATCTATCAGCTTGTTGATACTTCCAAATACGGTTCTGGAACAAAACAAATACTAAATAATCAGTGTTAAGTATTTGAAGGGAACTTGTCGGCCATATCTCCCCCACCCACATCCACTGGGGAGTTTGACGCGTTATCAAACGACCACGCCTTTATATTAAACATTTGGATACAATAGAAAAGTGAATCACTTGCTTGATTAAAAAAAAATGAATCTTAAAATTTTAGTTTGGCAAACTGGCGGGTTTGACTCGTTTATCAAACGGCCGTGCCGTCACAGTACAATAAAAAAAGACAAAAACAAACACAGTTAGACATTGCTTGATTAAAACAGGAATAAAAACATCTTACATTTTTTGGTTTGGCAATATGATCCAGAGTAATATATTGTACAGCTACAGGTGTTAGGACGAATACATGTTCCACCATTGCGACAATAATTATTGCACAATGCTACAATAGAAAGGAAAATCTAAAATTGAAAAAAGACTGCCGCAGTAATATGTATGTAATCAAATTTTCAATGTCTTAAAATAAAAAGCGCGGTTTTCCAAAAACAAAAATGACAAGTTAAATATTTCAAATAAAATTGTACCTTTGTCGTATTTCTTTTATTTTTAAGAAGGTATCTGTTGTTATTTTATTTGTTTATTTATTATTATATTGGGTATTACCTCGCACCTACACAGTATAGATTATATGGCGACTTTGCTGCTTTACCGGTGGAGGAAGACCCCAGGTTTTATAATTATAGTTTAACAAAACAAACTAAACAAACGCTTTGCTTCGTATCAAGCAATACATGTGTTGAGGCTCCAATCTGACACCTCTGTAAAATGATTCAAATCCACATAAAAGAAGAAACTATTTTTAAATTAGCTTTTATCTCCAGTTAGTCAACAATAATATACTCACGTTTGTTACAGTTACTTCCGCCCCAGCCTGAACAACAGTGCCGCTTATAACAGGAAAAATACTTTGTGTACCCACATCTACTCCAGCCCCTGTGAATTTCATGTATATCAAAATTCTTTTATCTGTAGATCTATAGATTTTCACAAAAGGGAAATGAAAAACAAATTCTAATAGCTTGATTTTTTTTAAAGAGAGAAAATTACAGGTCGCATGAATAACATTAACAAAGAATTTATAACAAATAAGAACAAACATCATAGTATTTTAGATGTTTGTTTTAAAGCACGTTTGATATTTTTGCCACAGTCTCAATGACCACCAATGATACTTTAAGTTAGCCAAAACATGATAATTAACATCAAATGTCGATAAATATGGTATAAAATATGTGTCTGTTATAACGCATGCATTTACATGTAGTGTTTTGTCATTTTCATCTTTCAGGACATTAGAATATATCAGTTACACATAAATCATTTTGAATTTCGCATACCATGTACCGCAACTACTACTGGTATACTTGCTACATTTTGTTGTGTATGTACAAAATCCACTGAAAGAAAACAAAGATATTTGCAAAGTTTTCAAAAATGTCAAAATTGCAATGTGATTGAAGATAAAGCATACAACATTACAGATTGTCTCGGAAGATATAATAATTAGTTATTTCTGTTATTGATACGCTGACAAATAAATCTGCATGTACATTGTATATCAAGCTTTAAAAGTCATTTCTTTTTATATTTAAAAAAGAAGTTATAATTATTTGACTATTATTAATTTTTTAATATTGCGATTCTTATTGATGAATAAAATGCAGTCATAAATACTTTATTGTATACTTTTTAATGTTAGAATAACTCACCCGGATGAATAGTGAAAAATGCATAACATAATCAACACAAAATATATAGATGAACGGTCCATTCTTTCATATAACTGCTGTTTTAGATATGACTGCTGTTTTAGACTTATGCACATTTTGTAATCTAACATTTACTCGATATACAGACTTGCCCAAAAGACCACACTCTAAGTCTCTATATACCACATTTCTTATGGTATTTAGGTTTGCAATTTATGATACTATAAGGTACGTTTTCAACATTTATGTTTGAAAGATGACTTTAAAGTCTTGTTCAAGAAATATACATACATTATTAAGGCAATGGTGTTTGTCCGTAGCAACTGTATTGAACGTTTTATTAAGATATCAATTGAAATAGATAATATAAAAGGCTTGATTTGATTACGTCTGTTCAAAGGTACTCCAAAGCATCCGCTTCTGCATTCTGTTAAGTTTGGTAACTTAAGTTAAAGTTTAAGTCGAAATTGTCTTTGCAGATATTTTAAGCTTGAATTGTAAATGTGCAAGTGTAATACATTGGATTCATAATAACTTACCATGTCCCCTTTTTGTGATTGGTCCAGATGTGAAACATGACCGTCAATAGAGATTCATATTTGCCTCGACTCTAGGTGAATACATGTGATATGGTGATACATATATATTCATGTTCACAATCTATGCCATAAAAGGTAGCGCTAAATAAAACCGTCTATTATTAGAAACCAAACGTTATTGGCTTGATGGAATAAAGGGTACTACATAACCAATCCAAAACAACTTAACGTAAAGCTAAAGACATATTACGACAACATTATTTCTGTCAAAATATACATATATATTACAGTAAAACATCTCAATATTGTCAAAAGTTTAAGTGAACAGAGAGGCCAGGAGAGACAACTAGAAAAAGAGCATTACATTTCTATATAGTTTACCCGCCCCTTGGGAATCAAATAACAATGTGGCGTCACATTAGGCTATATAGTAAAAAGTTTACGTGAGGCATAATACATGTATAATGTTATAGTCAACCGATATAAATACAATTTTTATTGAACTATAATTATAACTGGAGCACTTGTTGTTAAACTTGGCGGGCACTTAATTAATTCCTGATATGAAAAGACAAGGTTTACTACGATTGGACACAAACAATAAGAATTATTATTGAAATAGGTAAAAACAATTAAATAAGTATTGACTTTAAAGTATATACAAACGAACCGATGAACTGTAGAGGAGGGGTTATGAATTAAACAGTGTGTGTACATGTAATTTACTCACACCCTGTATATAATCTGTCTCGATATTTTTGAAAGGTATCCAGGTTTCAAAAAAATGTTTCAATGGGTGGGTACCTATTGCACCCGGCGCATTTTTATCTTATTCAAGCAACGAATTAATGCGATAAAAATGCGCAAGTATCATGGAGATTTTTTTATATTTTAACCCGTTAGAGTACAGTTTTTACAGTCAGAGAGGGTGATGAATTATTCAATTTTCCGAATAAGAATACAAGAGAACTTCCTAACAGTTTAACAGCTTATTCAAAATGTTAGGCCCATCAGAGGCATCAGTCACACCTACAATAATATACATAGAATGTGAAATATCATACAAAACAGTTAAACAAAATAATGTACTAGGAAAGTGACAACACATTGCAAATCAATTAAATTTGGCCTGGACTCGGTAAGTGAAAACAAAATTTAATGGGATTTTTTATCTTATTAATTTGCAGAAAAAAAGAGAAGAAAAATGCTTGGAAAAATATAGCAGTTTGTATAATTATGTAAGAACTATGAATTTAATCACACGTAAAATATTCAACACCTCTAACGTGTATTAAAAGTGCTTAAATCATAAAAACATCATTTAATTGCTTTGTTAAAAAAATGAAGTTCTTTTCATAATTGTTTAAAGGTTCCATAGGCGAGTTTATATATACATTGATTAAACAATAGAATTTTGTTACCAATGCGAATGTGATTATTTCTATATTATTTTTTTATTTATTTGCGATCTACTCTTACACTTGACACAGTTATATTGTTTAAGGATGCATGAGTATAATTATACTAGGCAAATTAGACATCTCACAATTAGTTTGATGTTGGATATTAAACATAAACTGCATTGGTGGCACGCTCTTGCATCATTGTGTAGTCATCAATTAATTGGTGTGCTTTATGAATTGTAAAAGACTGCCCGCTTTATTTTGAAATGGTGTAGAGATATAATTAGCGAAATAGTGACATTATGCCAATCCAAGTATTATAAATGATGAGTGCACAGACAATAGTCAAACGATCTTTACATTTAGACATAATTGTGTTCAATTTTATATTTTACTATGCAAAAATAATCAATAGTACACGTGCCAAGGGATACTTCTATAAATTGTCAGTAGTGTTAAATTTCTAAAAATAGCTGGGCAGTCCTTTTATAATTTATATTGTTTTCATATTGTATCCTTAACATTTTTCATTATCAATTATTGGTCAAACACAAAGATGATAGTCAATCTTTTGAAGTATATTATTAATTCAGTTCATCTTGACAACGACACACAATGTTTAACGTAATTTTAAAGCAAGTAGTCTAAATTACGAAGAACAAGCATGATTCTTCTTAAAATTGTAAAGCTTTAGTGTTTTTTTCATTAAAGTTGTGAAATAGAAGCGAACGTCAATTTGAAGCACAGATTTTTCTTTGATAAAACAAAACATTCACCCGAGATATTTCAAGATGAAATGTTAAAAGAATCTCTGATATCATCAATTTGTAAATAACTTGGACTTTTTTCTTCGTCTTCTTTCTTCCTTTATTTGTTTTTATTTACATGTAGTTTCTTTGAACATTGAAATGTTGATGTAATGCTGTTTAGTGTCAGTAAATAAACAAAACTTTTGTAATTGTGACATTTTAGGCATCACATTATCATAAATCAAATATAATATAAAATGAAATTTGCCTCAATAAATAAAGCCTCATCATTACCTTACTTTGTTTGGACTTTAAACAACTAATTTATTTATTCATTCATTCATTCATTCATTCATTCATTCATTCATTCATTCATTCATTCATTCATTCTATATGTCGTTATATCATCCATCCATCAATCCATCCATTCATTATTCATCTATTTCGTTCTATCATTATCCATTGATTGATTGATTGATTGATTGATTGATTGATTGATTCACTCTTTCATTCACTCATTCATTCATTCATTCATTAATTCATTCGTTCGTTCATCCATCCATCCATCCATTCATTAATCAATCAATCAATCATTAATTCATTCATTCATTCATTCATTCATTCATTCATCGTTTTTACATTTTAACTAAATTCATTCATTCATTCATTCAATCATTCATACTATCATTTGTTCTTTTGATCCCAACGACACAATTCGTATGATTATTCAAGCTAAATCTTTATCATTCCTCTAGTTTTGTATGGTAGTACAATTATAACTCTCTGATATTTGTAACTATCGTACGCTTGTTGCTGAGCCTGATATAATCCAGTGTAGAACAGTAACGATTATTTACGGGAACCAACGATCAATATTTTTGCTTTTTTCGGCTCATTGGGAACCAGTAAATGGCATCTGGCAGAGGAATGCTCACAGGAGTTTGTATGAATATAACGAATATACACTAAATAAAGAGAACAAGTAGAGATTTTGATGCTAAAGCATCAAGTCGCCGGATAGAAAAATGATTGTATTATCATAAATATAAGAAAATATAAGTTTAATGGTTTAAGTATAAAAATAAGAGGAACAATGAGTTGAGTAATGAGTTGAGGCTTGTAAGGCAATTGCTATGCTGGTAATTCTTCTTGTAATTGTACTTTATACATATACTGTTGTACCATACATTGAAATCCGTATAGGTTTCTAGTTTAGATTCAGATAATTACCGACAAATAATTACCGATCATCGAATATTTGAAATGTGAATATGAAAATATATATGTTTAATTATTTCACGAAACAATGCAATTTTACTGTAAAAGTGTTGTACATCATTATTATGTATATCGAAAAAATATATAATTTAGTTGAAATCAATACATGTATTCCCATCGTTACATACGATTTCTAAAATTAACGTTTAATAAACACAAAGATATTTTATTATTTTTTTCTATGTATCTAATACGATTCCGGACCCCTAACGTCATACCGTTTTGGAAACCTGCGTGACGGAAACCGACGGAATATATCGAAATCAACGATTACCATTATAATTATATTTCAATAATGAGGTGTTCAACCTAAACTAAACTATTGAACTTTCTTGTCGAAAGTTTGACAGAAAGGGCCAAGTTTAACCCTTTACCAAGAAGAAAGGAAAAGGTTTTGAAAATTTATTTTTAATGTGTAAAATATGAGTAAACAGGTTTTTCTAATGATATAAAGTATGAAACTGATTAATGAAAAATAACTTATGTAATTATCTGAAGAAAATTACAATGATTTGCATCTTATCAGCTCCCATACCTTTTTTGATTCATTTTATGAAAATTGTAATGTTGCTTTTTAAGATGTCAATATGTGCATATTTCATTTCACTGAGCAAAGTGTTTGAATTTTTGAGATTACTGGAACATAATTGTTGTCTTTAATTGTTCAATGATTGATATGCTTTTATTTTCAGATTTTAAGTGCTTCTCCTACCATTGGTATAATATTAAACTGTTACAAATATAGTCGCCGGTTTCTACCGGCGACTAATTAAGCTTTGAAAAGGGGGATAATTGGCTGAAGTATAGAATATGTTGACAGTGGTGTATGGGGCTAGTTTTTATACTTCATAAGCATTGTTGTGAGGATAAAATTCCGAAAAGGGGTGATCTTCCAAACATATATATAAAAATAATGAAGTAAAACATTCTCAACAGATTGAGGCCGGCGATGAAATTTTATAAAGAAAGCAACATACCGTAGCTCTGGCTTTAAAGTTGTTGTTGTTTTTTTCTTTTTCAATGCTGCATTTTTGTCAGCGGTTTGTTATAAAACATTTCGCACTTCGAGCTTGATATTTAAGTCAAAGAATATGTGTTTGTTTAGAATACATTTGTGGGTCATTCACGAAGATTAATGAATCAGTATTATAATTAACGATGTACAGTACTAGTATACAAACTGAAAAATAAGTAAGAACATTAACATCACAATTCTGGTCTGTTAAAAAAATCGTCATTTTAATAGGGAACTTAGAAGATTAAAATCAATATAAAACGTTAACAATCAATCATTGTGTTTTCCTGCAAAAACATTTGATATTCATTTATAACTGGACAATATTCAGAGCACAAAAAAACAACTTAATAAATATAATTTATCAAAAAGTACCATTTATAAGGGGATTTTGGAAAAACTATTTTAATATATATATATTCATAATCTGATATACTTTAATTAATTAATTAATTAATTAATTAATTAATTAATTAATTAATTAATTAATTAATTCGAAAAGATTGATTAATTAAATATAATATTCATACATTGATTAAGATATCAGTTTATGGCCAAATCGTATACGTTCACGGACTTGGAATTAGTTGTCACGGGTTAGAATCCTGCCAAGGCCTACGAATTCTTCCATGTGAAAAAACAAACCAGCAACCTTCTGGAAGGTCGGTAGTTCTACTAGTGTGTCCGTCCGTTCGTGACTGAAACGTGGCACCATCATTGACCAGTGAATCATCGGTTTAATTAATATCACTGAAACGAAAAGCAAATGTGTGCATTTCTTATTTCATTTAAAATTTCAATTTGTTTAATAAATCACTTATCAAATAATTAAAGTTGCAATTATGAGGAGTAATTAATATGTAAAAATATGTGCATGCTAGAATTTATATTATATCCTTATAAACCACGGAAAAATCATTGGTACTAGTTGTTTTTATTTGTTTAAAATTGTATATTTTACAATAGCAGCAATCGAATAAAGTGCCGTTTGTCTAGCATGACATTTCAATAAATACAACCAACAAGGTATACAAGCCTGTGTTATACTTATACCAGTATTTTATTTCATTTTAACAGATATTTTACCAGAGTATAAAATGTACCTTAAAAATGCATTGTTCTTTTTTAACAATGCGAACGGCGGATGAATTCACAAAGTATGTAATATTCGATATGTTCAGGCGAAATCCGCATGACCTTTAAAGATTGCTATCTAGGTCCACTTAGCAGAGACAATGGTCCACTTTAAGGCTCTAAAATGATATGTTGATGCATAATTCCTTCCAGCAAGGATAATGGCCTATTGTTATATATAATGTTTTCAGTGTATATATACAATAGTTTCAAGTCCCTGTGTATGTAATTATGATAGTACGATGATGAAAAATGCACATAATATTACACGTCCGACTGCTAGGTAAACATAACTGCTATAGATAGAATCATAGATATTGGGAAAGATAGAAAAAAGTGTGTGTATGCTGGAGGAATAAGTGTGAATTTCGGTAAGTATTTGGAGCATTTTTTATATTATATTCAAACATGCCAGCGCTTCAGTTTATATGCACTATTATCGATGTATGACGCTTTTTCGTGGTTTGTTTTTGAATATGAATTTATAGTTTTTATACCTTTAAATGCACAATTAGACAAATTGTTGAATTTTATTTCATACATTTATTTTTATTGACAAGGCGTTAGCTGTTATAATACATGTACTATCCACGCATTTCACAGGTTAACAGATCTTAATATTTGTTTAAACATCTGGAGCGTTCATGCATACACTTATTGTGATCCTCCTAATGTTAAAAGTATTTGCTAAGTAAGCGTTTTCAATATCGGACCTTGCTGTCTTATTGGTGTATCAACAAGATTAGGGATTTCCATTTTAATGTTGGATATTTGTTTATTGACTGGATAAACATATCGCACACATACACGCGCAGGTATACACTTTATATAAGTTTGTATGTGTATAAACTAACCATATCCTGTCATGTTATATTATATATACAGTTGAACATATTGTGTGTTAAGGCTATATCTAAAGCTATTATCTAATAATAGTACATTCAATGTGTAAAGTGAATACGGAAATGTATATAGATTTTCGTAATACATCACTAACATGTAAACCACGTGTCGGGGAAAGTAAACAAAAGTGTATTTTCGTTTTCTCATACATACATGCATTTATTTATATACTGGGATAAGAGGGGGTTTGAAATGTATGTGCTATTCTTAATCTGCCCCGGTTTGTGATAGTAGTGTATAAAAGTCAAAATAAATGAAGATAATGTACTAATTAATAGAATTGATATAATTAAAGGTATGAACTAACCAACATTTTATTTGCGCCCCATTACTTGCGAACAGGTTTATATTAGTTTGTTATTTTACTATACCACTATCAGTTAATGGATTAATACCGAGTCGCCCCCTACGTGCCCAGGTCAAAGCTAGGTCAAATGTTAACCAGGGGATCATTTCAGTGATACAGATATTTTTGGCATGCGGAAAATTAATTGTTAACACTTCACCCCGTTTTCTTTGCAAACATGCCTTACCTGTTTTTTTTCCGAGTGTCACATTTAATTTTAGTAGGGCACACCATCCGCTTTTTTAATCAGACGGAAGTTTTCTCTCGACACTTCGTTACTAACTTTCTGTACTAGTTTTTGAATTGATAAAAGGCCAATTAAATAAAATAAGGTTTACGATAAACAAGGCCATTCCATTTTGTTTAGCTTTGTTAGTCATGTACATCAATTTCCTAAACGTTAGAAATGTTGTTGTTTATATGTAAATATGTTACATATGGTTAGTTGCGTTCTATATATACATACACGTGTGTATATATTTAAATGTAGTGCTACATTTAAAAAGATAAACGAATTAAGCACCTCGCATGCCTGTCTATTCGTGAAAATATATTGACATTCTGGGATATTTTTCCCTGGGTCAGAATCCCGCTTTTTTAGAGGCGACACAAAATAGCACACTATTTCGTCGCGCGTTGTACAATTAGTTGGACTATCCTGTCTATCCAAGATGCGTTTATAAATACTGAATATTTATTAAGGTGGTATTTTACTCCCAAATTGCTTTCAAGAAAAGTTGGAAGCTCTTGTCATATGAAAGTTCCAACCATATTTGAACTGAACTTTAGGATGGAACATATGCTCAGAACCGTGCTTACATCTTAAATTATTGACTGTAAACAGTTGTAGGGCAATTTTGGGGTTACTCTATAGCATTTGTGGAAAACGGCCTGCGGAGATAACGAAACTTTGGTAATAACAAAATTAGATGACCACGTGATAAAGTAATCAAAAGAGATCCTTTACCAAGTGTATGCATTATAAAAGAAATGCGCGATGATTTTTTCACAATTCCTTTTTACTCCTAAAAATTAAGGTCTCTTTAGCCAGATGCTCTGGGGATTTATAGTGGAAGATTGAACTTGTGGTTTATGCAAATAATGGACAAAATTATTTACAGATAAGCTTATCTAGATCAAGACTTCCTCGTTCCATGGTTTTGACATAGAATTTTATTTAATAACTTTTTACAAAATTAATGATAAAATTTAAGGCTAATAGTGTCAACATTATTTCGTTGCTGACCAGTTTTGGTATGTTTACATCCTTGTCATACTATTCAATAATAAGATATGCATGAGCATGTATTCGCAAAAAAGCACAACCCTGGGGTCATGGGTTTGAGCCCTACTATATGTTTCGTCATATGTCACCAGTACTGTTTAGATCCAGAAAGCAGACTCGAAAGTGATTAACATAAGTTGTAATAACTTGTTTCGCAATCGAGCTAAAATATGTTTTAAAATAAACATTATAGTGATCCTTTTTTTCTTTGTTTTTGTGTTTGTTTGTTTGTTTATTATTATTATTATTATTATTATTATATCTAATTTGTTTTGAATTGATCTATAGTCTGCTTTCTATTCTTTCCTAAGAAGACGACAAAATTAAGTTTGAGGCTAATTTCGTGTCACCATTTTCCCTTTAGCAAATACATTTTTCCGTTTCGTGGACGTTTGAAGTGTCAAAACTGAATAAAAAAATGAAGAGATAATTAGTTATTGAAATATAAATATATAATAACAAGTAAATTTCCGCACTTGTTCATAATTTATAAAATGTTCTCACTCCATTCATTATATATCATGTTATATCGGTCAGTGTTGGTAGAATATAATGTCAGGTTCGAGCTGTCATGTTGAAATTTCTCACCAAGTTTAAGTTGATGCAGAATCTATACACTTATATGAATTTAAGTGATCTAAATATCATAGTCAACAAATACTCTTTATCTTTCGAAATGAAAAGAATAGTTTGATTTTTTATTTCAGAATAAAAGAACATAAACCTACACGATGGTTTTCCAGGATATATCAAAGGTAATGATGGGGCAGCTTAGTGCCGAGGAATTCGTGGCTCCTTTGAGCGCGTCCATTATGTTCTTCATAATCACTATGGGAGTCGGGTGGTCGCTTAGAGCGTTAAACAAAATGTTGACGCCGGAGCCAATCAAAACTCATGTTGCAAATTTCTTAGCGACCTTGGAGATGTGTGCATACTTTTTCGAGAATAATTTCATCTATAAAAACTTTGGCAGCATTTGGTTGTTTATTGCCGTTGTAATTGAATGCTTCATTGCAAACAGAACATTTTTCGGAGCCTCAGAAAATCCATGTCATGCGTTCACTCAGATGCTTGAAAATAAGATCTCAGCCACTTCGGCGATTGTCAGCATTGTCGTACAAGCGCTTGCAGGTGTTGCTTCTTACCGGTTTGCCAGAATGGTATGGTCATTGGACATGGTTCCAGATCATAGGGACAGGTAAGATGCTCATGTCTTTCTAGATTTATCTTTATTAATGAGAAAATGACTGACGTGCTGGTTAGAGTAGATATTATGTCAGCAATATTTTAAAATTTCTGTCCTCGAGGTTAAAAACTCTCTTTCCTAGCTTTGTCTCGCATCTCAGGATTTTCACTGGTCAACGAATATTCTGTGCCGGTTACCGACTAATCAAATACCTTGGATCTGAGTATAAGCTTTGACACCTTCTTTATAACTTCACACCATGAATTACCAAAAGTTCCTGCAGGTCTATATACGTCTTCCAAAAGCATTGCATTTATTTTACAATAACCAAACAATTCAACAAGTCAGTTATAAAAGTGACGACTACATACTTTTGCTGTATCATATTTGAATTCTCTGTCGTTTGCATATTTTAAAATGAAGATTATCTCGAAAAGTTATTTTTACTTATTACATTTATTTAATTTAGTATTATACTAAAGGAAGCTGCCTACGCCAGCATGCGGATGGTCAGGTATGCCCGCTGGTGCCCGAAATGAATGTAGTAACAAAGCCTTCCACGACCAGTAATTGCAGAAAAGTTGATATATGACTCGAACAGTGTGTTAATGTGGCTTTGAACCTAAAAACAGAAGTAATTAATTCTTAGGAGTCAATACTTGTTACTCGTATTCAAATGAATAAAGCAATTTTAAAGCAGCACGCCTCCAGATTCAGTTTATTTTCATGAAAAGTTTGGAAATGTATTTAAAAGAAAAATATTGTGAGGTAAACAAATAAAGTAATTGACATATTGCAATCGGCACTTACAATCCAAGAAAATTACAAAGAAGTCGTCGCCATACGCAAAAAAAGCTCTTACTGCGTTAGTAACGCTGAAGAAATATGGTAATAAAGATACTACAAAATCAGTCTTAAACCGCACATATCATGAAAAATATAACATCGATCTTGAAAGTTTTTACCTTTCTTAAAAATTTAGTACATTTTTCTCAATATTGATTTTCTTGAAATATTTGGGTCATCGGGAGGCGTGCGGCTTTAAGCAACTCTACAAACTTCAGGTTTATACCGATCTGCTGTATTTTTATCAAACGTTTGACAAGAATAAAAGTATGCAGTAAAAAAGCCATATATGTTACATTTATATCCCCTTTATCAAATACCAAAACCAAATTTTATGTTATAAAAATTGTTACCATTAAAATCGGAGCACTTTGCAAGATAGTAAGTACTAGAGTAATATTTTCTCATTTCTTTTTGCTGGGTCGTTAACCAAGAACGACAACGCGTGAAAAGGCAAATACAATTCACCATGGCTTTTGTCGTTTCTTCACTTACAACGAAACGAGGCCAATTAATGGAATAGAGAAAGTATGAATCCCTAAAGAAAGCCCAACACGGCAAAATTGAAAATGTTGCAGGCTCGGTTTGATTGAGCCTGTTCATGGACGGTACTGTCAAGTGCAAACTACCGTCCACGCCCCCTAGCACCGGCTTAAGAAGAATCCAACATTTAACATGAACTGGTACAATTTGGAATTTTGAAACACAGCTTGCCACTGTATTTTAAGACCTATCGTCATTTAATTTTCAAATAAGCTTTACTATTATTTAATGTTATTATAATATACCTTCAGGATTAAATATGATGTATATTATTTGATATGTCATATATGGTTGAAAAATAGTTAATTTCTTTTTAATCTGATATTTTTTAATGTTTCAAGATACATGGAGACTGTATGCGCCTCAGACCTGAATGTTGCCTTCCTGATTGGTTTCGGTATTGAACTAGGAGCTACGCTGATCGACACATGGATGGGTCGGCAGACTTTGATGAAAATGTCGATGGTTGATGAGCTCATTAAACTTTCAGTGGGCTCTCTAATGATCGTTTTAGGTATGTAAAATATGAACCTAAAAATAAGAAAACAATTTATGTGTATTGACTAAGTACATACTTTTGCTGTGTCGTATTTGAATTATATTTCGTTGGCATATTTTAAAATGAAGATTATCTTACAAGTTATTTTAGTAACTATCACACTAAAGGAAGCTGTCTAAGCTTGCATACGGAGCTAGCATAGCATAAATGGCTTAACCATTTTTCAGATGATTTTCCTTACATTTTATATAAAAAAACACGTGTTTTCATAGATTTGTTATATGAAGGCTTGAAACTCATTTATAATACATTCGAGGACGCTACAAAAAGCAAACCAGTTTCGTTGTCTGATTTTTACGCCAATTTCATTGTATCGTTGGCGGTCCACCTAAGCAGTTTTTCTTGATAATTAACCAGTAATAACCAATTTCTCAACAAGTACATGACGTACTGACTACTGATTAGCTATGCACCCTAGAACAGCCGTCAAATGAGCAAATGTGGTTGCGACCCAAGATTTGCTCGAACGCATTATCCCTGCCTTGAGACACAGAGTCTTTTACCACCAGGCAATATTAATCCTCGGGGCCTATTTTCAAATCACTGTAACTTTGGTGTGCATTTATAGTTTCCAAATAGTTACTTATTGGCCAATTATCGTAGCATTCTTTTTCGTTTATTTTTTTTTGGCAATAAGTCCAGTCATAGGGAAATAGTTTATTGTATGGAAGTCAAAATACTACTTTGTTTACATTTTGCTACTATTATGACAAGTTTTTTCACATTGATCGCTACAGTTTTCAAGCAACAAGCATCTAACATTTTTCTACAACCATTATTTCTAATCATTATAAAGTTCATCTTTGTCCTTTCTAAAGAAGTACAAATATATTCGTTTCAGAAGCATAATGTGCGTTTAATTGGCATTTCTTTATTCAAAAAATATGTAATATTTTACAGGTATTAACATGACCGGCATGTATTTCAATCCGGCGATGGCGTCAGGTCATACTTTCGGTTGCCATGGTACCGAGGTGTGGGAGCACCTGTTTGTATACTGGGCGGGGCCTTTCCTCGGTTGCTATGTTGCTACAGTAATTGATCAAATGGTACATATAGACGTCGTTCAAGCGGAAAAAGAAAGTAAAAAGAAGGCATCGTGAACGAATACACTCGTCTATAAACTGAAAATTCCTTACTTTAGCCTTAGCAGTATTATTTCAATATATTTTCAAGTACTGCATGAAATACCCATTCCAGTTAAAGTTTTCCCCTAACTGATAGCTACCTTTGCTATATTTAGACAATTAAGTGAAACAAACTAGGACTTGCTCAAAGAATTGGCTTGCTTGTCGTTATATTGTTTGTTGTTTTTGTTTTTCATCTTGTTCAAACTTTGTCGGTGCATCTACTGACTGTGCTCGCAAGAAATGATACTAGTTGAATTAAGTATGCTTGCAATAAATCATACAGTGATCAGACGTAAACGGTGCTTGTGCTCGCAATAAACCATACACGTTTAGTGGTGTACTTGCAATTAAGGATATAGTGATTCTGTTTCTTCCTTGTGGCCATGGTCTACAATCACAATAGTATCGTTTTACAACATTCAAAGTTATCATACAATGTATTTGCAAAATCCATCGGCTGTGACGTCATCATTCAATGCGGATAGTACAATTAAGAGACCTAAAGCATTACAAGCGCTTTCAACTTGTCGTCTTGAAATATTAAATCACCTGTTTTGTGATCAATACTTGATTTTCATTTATGATGTAGAGTAAAGAGAATGAACATTTCTGAATATAACTAATATGTACTCAAACTGTTCAAGTAATCCAATGTTTCATCTAGGTTGTATCAAAGTATTCTAATAGAGCGAGTTCTGCTATTTTAGAAATGTTTATATTTTACCCTAAAGTTATTGTTATTATACACGCACAATTTTACACAATATTTTACAATGGTTTGTTATTCAAATACACTTTTGATAATGTTTATTGGCTTTATTTTGATTTTCTTTGTCCTGGTAATTTTGTTGTCTTGCAAATGAGACTCAAATAAATAAAAATTTACCTTCGTTTGCAACAGTACTAGAAAATGTCATATGACATTCCTTGTACTTGATAACGTACATTCAACCGATATTAATGTGGGTGTTATTGTTTATAATAATACTATAATAGAAAAGTGCTGAATAAAATTACAGTCAAACTTCGTTCGATCGAACTCCTGATACCTCCCTTCGAACCTGATCCCTGGTCCCTTCTGCAATTAATATAGTATAACACATTTTCCGTCGAACAAAAAAGACAACAAAAGCTACGGGTCCGAGTTCGAGCGAGCGAAGTTTGACTGTACATGTATTAGTTTTCGAACTTTGTCAGCTTTAACTTAACAGATTTTAATATGCCAGAAAGGGAAAGGGAAGCAAACACTGGTTGACGTCACAGGGGGGAATATTGCTTTCAGGTTAACCTATTGACATTTTAAAGAATAATTGAAATTTGTTTTAGAAAAAAGTGCATGTCTGTTTTATCTCCTCAATTTTGACAAAATCAAACAATACTACCGACCTATAATATACCATACTTCCTTATCAACTGCTTAATTCATAAAGGTCTTTGGTTACAACTATGTTTTCTGTTTCCTGCATGTTATGTTGTTAGAAAGGCACCTGATGAATAGATAACTTAATTTCAGCCAAAATAATAAAGGAAATCGGGAATGTGTAGACTAGCCCCAAAAGTGTCATGTATCAATCATACCAAGCTATTGGACTTCCAGCTTTGGTTTATCCAGAGAAACACGATTTTTCCCATTCAAGGGGTTTTATTGCCTGGCAAAAGTATTACTTGTTTAAACAATTCTTTCAATTATATATTCGGTAAACCGTATTGTAACTGACTTGTTAATATTCATAATATATATGCTAGCTATTAACGTCATATTGCATAAGGAAAAATACTAAAACCCAGAGCGGGCGCTGAGGCAGTGGCAACAGTGTATGACTACAAGTCAAGTTTTGCCCCCGCTAGTCCACTAAAATTACTAAAAGTATTTCAGTTGAAAAAAATGAAGGATAGAGTGTTCTTATATATAGGATATCAAGTAACTTTAACTTTAGAGTCAATGCTGAATTTATTGAACGAGTTGTAAAATGTTATATTATGCGAGCCTCTGGCGGGCATAACATTGAGTTCAATCACATAACATACATTAGAACTATCTATAGTGAAACTAATCTTTTTTGTTATTGACGAGTATATACGTAGTGTAACGCTAACATGTGGTTTTTAAATGACCAATGAAAATACCATGATACCAAAATAAAGGGGACCAATCTGCTGCTGTATTTTGGATATCGGGAAAAATGGTGCGTTATAGTTTCATAATTTTATTATGATGATTTAATTCAACGATTATTACAAATAATTTTTGAATTTTATCATATTTAAAGGCCGATACAAAAAAAATATATATTCATTCATTTCGTGTGATTTACATGTACCAAAGCAGTGCAATCAGATCTCTTCAAAGTTACATTTTTTTACATTTTGGGCTTGAATATTATTCGTTACATAAAGTCTTATAATCAGCAAAGGTGTCAGCGTTGTTTCCTTAAAGTGTATTTATTATCTAAGATTTGACACCAAGATTGTTAAGATCGGTGCAAATTTGATGAATATATACGCTGAAAATTGAGATGCTAGTGATTTTTCTACATAAAATGAAAGTAGAATAAAATACCTTTTAATCATTTTAGAGTCATAATTGATTTTTGTCAAAACTTATGATGGATGTATGATTTTGTGTTGCAGAGGGGGAATGGGGATATGATGTAAGTCATGGCCACGCGTCGAACACCAGTCCTCTGTTATTTACATATTGCAATTACTGTATTTCTTTACAAAACGAAGCAAGATTTTTTTTAGAATGTGATTTGTTTTTACTATTCATAAGATCTTCCAATTACAAGATTTCAAGATGAATTAAATACTGTCATTGTTCTCAATATCTCAAGATTTATTCATACTGTCAAGGTTCGTAAGAACATGTGACATAAAATACAAAATTGTGAACATTTAACAACCGAACACAGAAAAATATACACAAAAAATATATACATGAGAATGAGTGACAATTTTATTGTACCCATAAAACAAAATAAAGATACCACTAGATTCTTAATACTAACCGAAATTTATGCTTCATTAACACAATTTCTAGGAGACTAATTTTAATGATACAACATTATACTTATTATTTGAATGCTGTAATTATTTCTTTACAAAATAAAGCAAGTTTTTTTTTACTTTTGTTTGGTTTTTAATGATTTGTTTTTACTATTCATAATATCCTCAAATTTAATGCACTAGGATACCTATGGTAATGGTAAATATGATAATATTGTTTAATAAATTTACGTCCACTGTTAACAAAATGTGAACAATAAAAGAGATAGTGAAATTCGTCACCAAGTTGGTTTGACTTAATTAGTGTTGTTTTTTTTTTTTTTTTTTTTTTTTTTTTTTTTTTTTAATACTGTTTTATTTATTTACTTCTTATTTTAACATTACTATGCCTGTGTTATTTGTTTTTCCAATAATACGAATTAAGCCTTAGTTACTTTATTGTCTTCATTTCTAACCATACAATACACAATTTGTTGGTTGATATATTTTGTTTCATGCCTTGTGTTTTATGCTTGTGATTATATATGTCATATAGTATGACCCTTGATTGGTAAAATAAAATTATTCTATTCTATTCTATTCTATTCTATTCATAAAGTACATATACAATGTATATATATACGTAAATTTCTCTCTATGTTTAGGAATCTACCTTTCTCAATTGGCAATTCATGATGTACCTCTGAAGACAGTTGCCAACAGGGAAGGTTAACATAATCTTCGAATACAAACTCTAATTTATATAAACGGTAGTTTGTAATTAAACATTTGCTTAAAGATTGGACATCATTGTTACAACTTTGAATGAAGTGATTTCGCAGTTTGGACTAAACAAGACTTTTGAAATTAAGCGGACTGGGTACAGTACAGACTTAAATAAACCAAGTATCCTTAACAAAAGAAAACCACGGCCATTCAGTTCTATATCTAACATATCGTTACAGAGTGTGCAGTCTTATATAAAATATCACAAATACTATCATCTTTACCATTTAAAAGCTTACACCAGTTCTACTTTTTATTTGCAAATATATCGGAGTAGATCACCATTATTCGGAGAACTCTTTGTGTGAAATGAATTTCTTTGTGGTGAAAAAAATACGTTGGGTTAAATTATTTTTATTCATTGTCTTAGAGACGCTCTGTAAAAGCGCCCGAGAATTAAGTTGACGTAGTTCTACGGTTTTCAGGTAATTTTTGCAGAAAAATGCTTTGACATCTCTCGTTTAGATATCAGATTGACAAGTTAATGTATATATTACATGAATTTGATGCAAAAGTATATTTCAAATGCATTTAAATGTGTCAAATATGTGCACATCTGATACATGTCTTTGAGAAGGTTCTCGAACAAATTTATTTGTCAACTTCGTCTTGTCATAATTTATGTTAAGGAAAATATGTGACATCGTGAACCCTGCACAAGCACAGGTGGCAGGATCAATGTTTGGCCACCCCACCCTTAGGCTTACTACAAGATACCAAATACAAAACCACTGATACATTTTTTTAAAGTCCTCTATCAAAACGAGCGTTATAAATATAAAAAGGCAAAAAGTCTACTATATGCGCATTTGCCAAACAATGTGGAACACGGGATCTCGCTGTTTCAGCAACTCAGGCGCATTGCGGTGGCATATTGCTGCATCATTCATTTACATAAAAAAAAAACACTAGAATTTCACAGTTTACCTAATTCATGTCCAACGAATATCAATATTCTATCGATTAGTTTCTGTTTCATGGTATTTTTTATTTGCCGCAGCCATCTTGGTGTCTGATACATGCTTTGTAACACGCTATCTGATTGGACGATAGATGCCAGGGACCAAAAACTGAGTCCTCTTGTCCAATCAGATCGCGTGTTACAAAGCATAATATATATATAAGACTCCAAAATGGCTGCAACAAATGCATACATCAAGGCTAAATTTATTTCGCAAACCCTATGTTACTTGTAAGGCCTAAAAAAAAAAATTGTTTTGTTAGGGTAACATGCTCTCAAGGAATAGGTAGGGTAGGTCGGATTTTTTTTTTTTTTTTTTTTTCTCACCAGTATATTGAAATTTAGATATGGAAATTTCTGACATCCCTCCCGGGTGGCAAAAATACATCCCTTCTATGTTTTCAAAAGACATTTCAGGTGTGACAATCTTAAACTCTCGGCGTTCCTCTGGTGAAGATCACACGCCGTTTTACAAATATTGACGATGTGATCCGCCATTTTGTAACTAAGAGCGGCGATAAAATCTGTACCGTACCCAGGGCTCATCCTGGGGGGAAATTTAAGGGAGAAGTGACTTCCTCGTGAAAAATTGGCAGAATGTGTATGCATTAACATGCATGGCTAAACATCCTTTAACTAGAATAGAAACACAATCTATTTATCAGCTATTTACTGTATAAGCTTTCTCATATATTTTCGATAATAATGTGTAAGAAAAAATATGATGATTAAATTAACTTTATATTTTTACTTTTCTCACTTTTAACAGAAGATAAATTTACATTGGATAATGATTAATAAAATCTGTCTATCCTGTTCTGTTTTATGATCTTCAATGTTGTAATGTCACATTTATATGCATATAATTATGCTTATAAAACAATTTTCAAATATCGAAGAATATGTAAAATATGTACTGCAAACATTTGTGCACATTATATTTGATCACTAAAATTATATACATTCATTTCTTATTGAAAGATTCGACTGAGAAATTATAGAAAATAAATTTCTAATTACCTCCCTTTATTTTCATGAAATGTTAAAACTCGGTAATATCTTTATAAATAATGCTTTTGAAATTTACAAAATTAATAAATCTTAATCTGAGCGTCATATTTATGACATTAAAACAAATATATATATTGAAACAATAAGAACACTTCTTTTCTGACAAATTTTGTTGTTATATTCATGAGCACATGATATACGACTGATATGTCGCATGCTGATCATAATTCGTAGTTTTAGGATGTCGTGCCCACGTGCTTACAAGCTGTGTCAAATTTGGCATTTCTACAAAGATAACAATGCAAAACACTCACTGTCAACTACATACCAATCATAAGATTTTTGCGAATTGGCTTTCTTATATTTTCACGTGTATTAGGTACACGTATCAGAATCAGTAACTTTTTTTTACTGCTAGGTTTGGGCATTTCACCCCAAGCCATGACGTGAGCGACATAACAATTTTTAATTGATGTTAACGGACTGAAATCATCCAAATGAAATTAATTATTTTTAATTGACTAACAGTTTTGTGATAGCGGTGAAAAACCCATTGCACATCGCCTTTACTTCGGTTAAACACCGCGTGTATATCAATTAGGGAAGATTTGCACGTGTTTAGATGATCGGAAAAAATTGATCTATAATTATTGCCAAATCCTGTATTAAACTCGCAAAATATACCCGTTTAGGGCCGATGCTCTCATTATTTACTGTTTAGAGTAGGCGGTCTATCGCTTTGCATACAGGTAGAAGGGTAGTATATAGCGACGCTCTGATTGGATAATGATAATTAGCAGTCGTCATATGGGCGGATACAATCTCTGCTCTTTACATCGGCAAGTAATTACTCTTTGGGAATTAAGATTTTATCGGCGATGTTGACTTCTCTTTGATCAATTGGGAGAGCGAAATGGAAATATACACAGCGAAATTTTCGCCTGAATTGCTCTTCACCCTGCTCATTGAGTACCTCAATAATACGGTATTTTCATCGAATTTTTTTTTTTTTTGGACACGAAAAAAAAAACGGTAGGGTCGGCGCATATTATTAGGTAGGGTCGGGTGACCCGAACAAAACAATTTTTTTTTTTAGGCCTAAGCCTAACTAATTCTGTGTGAATTGTTTTGACTCATTTTACATGTCTGACATCACTCTACCAATATTAACTCAACGTTTAAATAGTCTAAAGAGTTGGATTAACCCTAGATGTATGTCAAATAATTTTGCTTATTTTTATGACATGGTCACATGCCTTGAACATTAAAACTTTCTGGGAAAAAGTAATAACTTATTTTCTATTTTTTTGACAATGTTTAAAAAGACTAGGGATGGGTACCACCAATTTTTTTGTACCGCGGTATATCGCGGTATTTCACCTGTGTACCGCGGTATGTACCACGGTATTATGAAGACACTTTTTAATGTTTAACTTATGCAAACTAAGACCAACTGCCATAAGAATGTTTAAACATTTTGATAAAACACAATACATTTTAGAAAAACAGATTAATATCTTTATTTCTTTCAACTAACATCTGTCTACCTGACTGGAAAATAATAAATAAAAGAAAGAAGAAAATAACCTTATTGTCTTGATAATATTTTCAACAAAATCTAAAATTGAAAAATGGCAATTCCCATTGGATTTTTGACCGTGGTGAATTCGTCCATGACGGTATGAGCTGTTTACAAGTTGGGCTATGTCTAAATGCTTTACGTTTTGTTATTGTCGCCACTCGTCAATACGTCAACATGTTTACTAGCCTTAGACTGAGCACTAACATGGGTGTCCCCTTTTAATGCATTTAAATGAAGAATGATATATAGAAATTATAAAAATGTCGGCGGATGAAATGTATTTACACTACATAATAAATATGAAAAACAACCGGGAAACGATCCGACCTTTCCGCGACTAATTATTCGTTAGAGTATTATACTGTGCATTTACTGCTGCTCTAAAAATAGACTTGGAATTCCACTTTAATTTAGGTTGAAAGTTGAAACACAGATTACAGGGTAAATAACGTCCGAATCTTACAAAAATATTATGTATATTATATATATTAAAAAACCGGTATTCCTAGGGGTCGTACCGGTACGTACTGCGTCTGAACGAAACCGCGGTATACCGGTAATACCGCACATCCCTAAAAAAGACTCCCTGAAATATCATAATGTCATAAAGAGAACAACATACACAGACTTCCCGAAAGTTAAAAAAATGTGTCAGACATTCGGTCTGACAAACCATGAAAATCTGTAGGACCGAAATGAAATCTGTCAGACTGAATAAAATTAATCAAAATCAAAGGAAAACTTGTGTTTGTATTTCTAAGACACTTTTCAGTTTGAAATTTTTCGTCGTAAAAATCGGTATAGTCCGTACAGCGCATTTTCATCTCCTCCCTGTCATACACCAACGATTCACAGTCATGCTTCCATTTTTCATTAAATTTTGTCTCAGGTCTATTCTTTACATCCTTTTACTGCTGTTCTGCGCGTTCCTCTGACGTAAATTTTCATTTTTTACCACGTTTGGCACCTTTAGCGATGCCATTTTGTATACATGTGACTTGGATAAATGCCGGACAGTCGGACCGATCTGGAATAAAAAATAGTCGGACCTAATATAAATTTATCTGACATGTCCGTCGGTCCGACGTATTTCGGGAAGTCTGCATACACTTCCCTTTGATATGTAAAGGACTGAAAGTTTTCCGGCACTGTTTGTTCTGTCTTTTTTCCCCGTTGCTCTTTGGTAATATTTGTACAGTTTTAATTATTTAGTATATTTTGCTCCTTTTATGACAAATAAACTACCATCATTTTGGTACTTATTAAATCTGGTCATAGGTTTAAGCTTATGATTTCTTTTCTTCTATGATTAAGGTGAACATCTTTCCTATTCATACACTTGCTGGTTCTGTTTGATATCATATAGCTAAGAAAAGAAAAGCCAAATTTAATAAAAAAATCAATGTGTGCAAAATTTTGTAAAAATTTGAACCAGAACAACTTTACAATTGTTACTAAAATTAATGTGCTTGTTTGAATTTACTATAATGAGTCATAGCCTCAACATGATCTACTTTCCTACAAGTGTTCCCCGATTTGGTGAAATTGCAAGTAACATGTATTGATATGATAATTTAAAAAAAGTGTATTTGCTCATTGATTACTCAGATTTCATACTTAAACCTACTAAAATAAATAATTCCTATTGATATGAGACAAAAATACAGTATAATTATGTGTTTTGTTTTTCACACTGGCTCAGATTTTCAACTTCTATGGAAAAAACTACTTTCCTCAGGCATAAAGTCCAGAGTTGGGCATAGGAATTCCATTCCCCTGCTTAAATTAATTTTAATACAGCAATCAATTTCAGTTTCAAATTTTAATTTTTGTTTTCCAGATGAAATATGGCAGAGGCAGCATTTTACAGTACAAATACGATAAATCAGACAGCTCTTCTAAATGGGTAATTTGATATGTTTCATTATCTTGAAATCATTTTATAAGCTCAAAATTTCCTTGATTAGTCAAAGGAAAAATATGTCAAAACTTGCTGTTTATGATAGAGAAATGGGCTATATAAGTCAAATTACAGAGAACTTTACAATACATGGATTATAAGGAAAAAAGACCTTTCATCAAATTTATCCGTCAGTGCCTGTTACATTTATATACTTCATCTTGAGCAAAATCAAATTAAGGTATGAAGAGGGCAAACTTAGTCATGTGGCTAAGTTATAAAAGCCCTTAATATGGAAGAAACTGCAAACTGTATGCTCCTCACTGCTTTGATTTGTCATTTGCTACTTTATAAATGACAGGGCCTTTCAAGCTACATGTATTTTGGGAATAGTCCAATGACTTAAATTGGGAAAAACTTCATGTATGTGTGATTTCAGGATATCTTTGGAAATTCTTATACATGTATGTTGAACACTATCATTTACATGACAAACATTTTACTAATGAAATTACAAAATATATTTATTGTTAGTTTGTTAAAAGCAAGACATTATTTAAACCTTTACCTCATATATACGCGAAACAACGCACTTTGACCCCCCCCCCTTTTTTTTAGGCCTGAAATAGTGAAAAAATGTCCTATTTGGGCCCCAAACACATGTTTTCGTTTGAGAAATGTTGCTCAAAAAAATGAGCACTTTTTCGGCGCCGTCCCCCATCCAAAAGATACATCAGGGGGTTGGCAGAAGGGGGATGTGCCCCCTTCTGTTTGGGGGGTTTGAAGGGGGGGCGGAGTCCCCCTCATTGCAAAGAAATTTTTGGACTTGTGAGAGGCTTAAAATGACCCTAGGTCGATCATAAGGTAACGTGTAACCAACGCTGAAAAGCCTGTGACTATCTCAATCCCTTGAGAAGTTGCAGCACTTTGAAATAAATTTTGATGGAAAAAATCGAGGCAAAATAGTGATTTTGGGCAATTTTGAGATGTCCCCTCGTTGCCATGGTAACAGGAAATTTAAAACTGAGTATGTTGTTACAAAGGCAATGGTCCAGTCAACATTTGTGCCAAGTTTGATTAGTATTGAAGCATTTTTCATAGTTTCATAGCAGTTTGAACTTGTAAGAGGAGGCTTTTCAGTGAAAATGGCCATTTTTCACAATATGCTCATGGGGGAAAGAGTTAACTTAAAAAATTATAAATGTTACAAAACTACAATTTTTCACCAAAATTAGGTAAACTACCACATGTTAACATGGAAAAACTAGATTTTGGGTGGTTCCAAAGTTTTTCATCATTATTTGTTAACCCTTTACCTCATATATACGCGAAACAATGCACTTTTGATCCCCGCCCCCTTTTTTAGGCCTGAAATAGTGAAAAAATGTCCTATTTGGGCCCCAAACACATGTTTTGCGTTTGAAAAATGTTGCTTAAAAAAATGAGCACTTTTTCGGCGCTGCCCCCCATCCAAAAGATACATCAGGGGGTTGGCAGAAGGGGGATGTGCCCCCTTCTGTTTGGGGGGTTTGAAGGGGGGCAGAGACCCCTCATCGCCAAGAAAATTTGGACTTGTGAGAGGCTTAAAATGACCCCAAGTCGATCATAAGGTAACGTGTAACCAACGCTGAAAAGCCTTTGACTCTATCTCAATCCCTTGAGAAGTTGCAGCACTTTGAAATAAATTTTGATGGAAAAAATCGAGGCAAAATAGTGATTTTGAGCAATTTTGAGATGTCCCCTCTTGCCATGGTAACAGGAAATTTAAGACTGAGCATGTTGTTACAAAGGCAATGGTCCAGTCAACATTTGTGCCAAGTTTGATTAGTATTGAAGCATTTTTCATAGTTTCATAGCAGTTTGAACTTGTAAGAGGAGGCTTTTCAGTGAAAATGGCCATTTTTCACAATATGCTCATGGGGGAAAGGGTTAAGGCCTCTATTTTATGTGATCATGTAGCCAATGTGCTTGAATCATTTTTGTGTGAGGTATTAAGAGTTTTTCCCCATACATGAACATTCATTTTGATATGCCTGTTTCGTGAATAGCCAGAAGTACTGTACAGCACTGTTCTTATGTAATTGTTAGTCTTTGAGCAAGACCAGTTACTTTTACTTTACTCTTGCATCAATTTTGACAGGATTGTTCCCCTTTGTGATTTTCTAGACTTGTTTTTCAATTTCTAATTCTCATATACAATTCTAATATTGAAAAGGATATGTAATACTTGTAGAATATTAATGTTTTTTGCATTATTATCAATTCATATTATAACATTCCATGTTTTTCAGTCACATTGCCCGTAGTGATGATTTAACTGCACATTTTTTAAACTATGTAATATTATATAACAATGCTCTCAAATACAACCCTTATTTACCAAAATTTAACCTTTAACCTGAATTTCTATTATGGATTTGCCCTGCTTTGATTTGGGAAAAGTCTATTTAAAGTTTTAGGGATATCAGGATCAAAATTAAAGACAAAGCTACCAACAGTATAGAGCCTCACTCAGATTACATGTAAATGCAGGGTGACTGGCTCTGTACTTTTGGCAAAGGCTTATTATTTTCAGTTCCAGTAAGGGTCAACAAAGCTCGTATTTTTTTCTCATCATCATTCATATTTTATGGGTCACATTTTTCAATTGTTAAAATTTGATCAATTTTCTTACAGGTATATGGAGTGCGCAGAAACTCTGATAGAAAAGTGTAAAGAACTGAGTGATGTAACAGGGGCTAGTAAACTGGAACGTAAATGTGCTGCTGAACTGAAGTATCTCAAATCAGTAAGTTGTCTCCCTTTGTCTAGATTTTTAGCTCACCTGTCACAAAGTGACAGGGTGAGCTTTTGTGATCGCTTTTCGTCCGGCGTCCGTCCGTCGTCCGTCCGTCCGTCCGTCCGTCCGTAAACTTTTACTTTAAATGACATCTCCTCATAAACCACTAAGCCAATTTCATCCAAACTTCACAGGAATGTTCCTTTGGTGGTCACCTTTAAAAATTGTTCAAAGAATTTAATTCCATGCAGAACTCTGGTTGCCATGGCAACCGAAAGAAAAAACTTTAAATATCTTCTTTTAAAAAACCATAAGAGCTAGAGCTTAGATATTTGGCATGAAACATCTTCTAGTGAGTGTCTACCAAGTTTGTTCAAATAAAAGGCCTGGGGTCAAAATTGACCCCGCCCCGGGGGGTCATTGATTTTCCCTATATACATATAGTAAAACCTTAAAAAATCTTCTTTTAAAGAACCAAATGAGCTACAGTTAAGATATTTAGCATGAAACATGTTCTAATGGGTGTCTTACCAAGTTTGTTCAAATAAAAGCCCTGGGGTCAAAATTGGCCCCGCCCCGGGGGTCATTGATTTTCCCTATATGCATATAGTAAAAACTTAAAAAATCTTCTTTTAAAGAACTCAAAGAGCTAAGGCTAAGATATTTAGCATCAAACATGTTCTAATAGGTGTCTACCAAGTTTGTTCAAATAAAAGCCCTGGGGTCAAAATTGGCCCCGCCCCAGGGGGTCATTGATTTTCCCTATATGCATATAGTAAAAAACTTAAAAAATCTTCTTTTAAAGAACCAAAAAGAGTTAAAGCTAAGATATTTAGCATGAAACATGTTCTAATAAGTGTCTACCAAGTTTGTTCAAATAAAAGCCCTTGGGTCAAAATTGGCCCCGCCCCGGGGGGTCATTGATTTTCCCTATATACATATAGTAAAAACTTAAAAAATCTTCTTTTAAAAAACCATAAAAGCTAGAGCTTAGATATTTGGCATGAAACATCTTCTAGTGAGTGTCTACCAAGTTTGTCCAAATAAAAGCCCTGGGGTCAAAATTGGCCCTGCCCCGGGGGGTCATTGATTTTCCCTATATACATTTAGTGAAAAAATTGAAAAATCTTCTTTTAAAGAACCCAAAGAGCTAGAGCTAAGATATTTAGCATGAAACATGTTCTAATTGGTGTCTACCAAGTTTGTTCAAATGAAAGCCCTGGGGTCAAAATTGGCCCCGCCCCGGGGGGTCATTGATTTTCCCTAAATGCATATAGTAAAAACTTAAAAATCTTCTTTTAAAGAACTCAAAGAGCTATGGCCAAGATATTTAGCATCAAACATGTTCTAATAGGTGTCTACCAAGTTTGTTCAAATAAAAGCCCTGGGGTCAAAATTAGCCCCACCCCAGGGGGTCATTGATTTTCCCTATATGCATATAGTAAAAACTTAAAAAATCTTCTTTTAAAGAACCAAAAGAGTTAAAGCTAAGATATTTAGCATGAAACATGTTCTAATAAGTGTCTACCAAGTTTGTTCAAATAAAAGCCCTGGGGTCAAAATTGGCCCCGCCCCGGGGGATCATTGATTTTCCCTATATGCATATAGTAAAAACTTAAAAAATCTTCTTTTAAAGAACTCAAAGAGCTATGGCTAAGATATTTAGCATCAAACATGTTCTAATAGGTGTCTACCAAGTTTGTTCAAATAAAAGCCCTGGGGTCAAAATTGGCACCGCCCTGGGGGTCATTGATTTTCCTTATATGTGTATAGCAAAAACTTAAAAAATCTTCTTTGAAAAAACCCAAATAGCTAGAGTTAAGATATTAAGCATGAAACATCTTTTAGTGAGTGTCTACAAAGTTTGTTCAAATAAAAGACCTGGGGTCAAAATTGGCCCCGCCCCGGGGGTCATTGATTTTCTTTATATGTGTATAGCAAAAACTTAAAAATCTTCTTTAAAAAAACCCAAATAGCTAGAGTTTAGATATTAAGCATGAAACATCTTCTAGTAAGTGTCTACAAAGTTTGTTCAAATAAAAGCCCTGGGGTCAAAACTGGCCCGGCCCCAGGGGTGTCATTGTTTTTAACTATATGTGTATAGTAAAAACTTAAAAAAAATCTTCTTTCAAAAAGCCCAATGAGCTAGAGCTTAGATGTTTAGCATGAAACATCTTCTTATGGGTGTCTACCAAGTTTGTGCAAATAAAAGCCCTTGGGTTAAATTGGCCCTGCAACGTTGGGGGGTGGGGGTTGGGGGGCCTATATACAGGTGAGCGACCTCAGGGCCATCATGGCCCTCTTGTAACTCTTACCATGCAAAATTTGAACAGTGTTTAATTAAGGCAGTTGACCTGTATTGAGTTCTTATTGTGATATCATAATCATGCTATATAATAAACTATATGCCTCCAGATGAGCAAAAATATTTCAAGATAATCAAACTTGAAAAAAAATTGCTAAGATTTTTAAGAAAAGTGAAAAGATTCAAGTAATAATTTACACCTCATGTGTGATTACTGACTGATTTTGCGGTATTTATCACCATATTTCTTCTGCAGCTGTTGATGTCTTTTTGGTAATGTAGTGGATTTAAGCAGACCTACAACTAATTAAATCTTACAACCTGCTCAATGGCAGGGGGGGGGGCTGTTGACTTCAAACTACTTGCCCCTCTCCTTGCCCGTCACTGCAGGGACTTATTCTTTCATGTGAGGAAGTTATCCAGCTAGCTTACGCAGCGTCAGTGGTCCTACTCAAATGCCCGTTAATTGTGCCTGAAATAATGCACAGAAGGGCACCTGAGGTCTTCCTCCACCAGTACAGCTGGAACGTCACCCTATGACCTCTACTGTGTCAGTGTGACAAAACATCATCAAATAAACACCCTGTTGGCATGGTTGGGTTGGGTTTAAACAATCATGTACTCATTCTTCTGCTAGTGCATGGGGAAAAAATGCGCATTGACCTCTATTATTCTTGTCCCCAAAGCCGAACTATTCTTTGTGTGCTTTATTTTTTTTCTATGAATAAATTCATTGTTACAGTACCATGATGTCTTGTTATCTTGATCTATTAACATTGCAGACATGTTTGCTGAGATATGTTACGATAGCATCGTGTCATTGGTGAACACAATTTAGATTTGCATGTAAAAGACATGGCTGAATATAACCCATAATTGTCTCTCTCCAGTGCCATGAAAAAGTATATAATTTAGAATTGTTTATTTCTCATGATGCTTAAACCTATTTAATGCTGTGCACAAAATGTCAAAAATATTCTCTTAACTTTGTACAGTACCGGGTATACCAAATGTTAATGTAAAAGTGGACAATACCATTAATATATTTAAAGTAAAGGCTGAATTTATGTGATAATCTTGGTCTGCACAAATCACATGGTCGATTGCATGGTCTGCACTGATCGTATGGGAAGATTATGCACCTTATGTACAGATTCATGACTAGGCTTTAAACCCAAAGCCTGCTGGCAGTAACTGAATATACCCATGTTAACAGTGCAGCCCATGATCACTGTTTCATCTGATCATGGTCTGCACTGTTCACCATTCATTTCAGTTTATCTTTGTCATTTTCCCCTAATTAATGAATGGTTTTTGTTCAGTCTAAAAGATGGTCAAGTCCATTTAAGATATTCAGTGGGGTTAATTGAATGGGCTTCCATTGTCAAGAGGTTAAGATTACTCTTATTATTTTTTAAACATTTGGTCCTCACAGCTTTGGGTTTAAATCAGGACAGGTGCTTTTAATTCTATCTGTGTGAGGAAGCTGTCTCCAGCTAGCTTCCAGTAGTTCGGAGTTTCTACATGAACTCAGGTACTTGTACTTGCTCATACTTAAAATTATGAAGGAGTTCTGGCAGAGCTTCCTCCACCAGTAAAGCTGGAAAGTCGCCAGATAAATATCATGGGATCTTTATGTTGCTGATGTTACAATTGTTGTAAAGACTTTATTGTCTAAGATTTGTAAACCATTTCATGAAAAGTCTGAACCAAAACTTGTGTGCAAATGTTCAAAGCCTTCCCTCACCCCTTTTTTTAACTATATTCATTTTTATTGTGCAAAATGACCCCAAAATTCAATGCTTTTCACTCATATAGAGAAAAAGAATCATACAAAAATTAATTTTCAAATAAGTTGTTGGTATATTTCTTGATTATCTTTTCCAGATTTTTCCACTTTATTTGCTTCACTTGATCCATGTAAACTTTCAAATTATATATTTTTTTTAAGGCTGTTTAACTTCAGCCAAGTTCCTTTAAACTCAACCACAAAAAATGGAAAAGAAGATATTATTTTCTAAAGATAAGGTTTTTTAATGAATAAAGAATTTTTTTTTCATCTTCAAAACCAATCAATATGAACAATTTTGCCTTCTAGCTAAAAGCATCTTTACTCTGACGTAAGTCATGTTTTAAATCAATTTCGAAGTTTTCCACGAGTTTACATTAACTGTAATGTCACACCTTTCCTTGGTTATAATTGACAACAAATCACTTTCAGATGTAAACATGTACATACTAATGAAGAAATAATTAGATTGATGGTGTTACAGTAATAATAAACTGACATCATAAAAAAGGAAATAATTGATTTCTGGCACAAAAACATGCCTTAATTAGAAAATTTCTTGGGAAAACTGAGGATTTAGATGTACATGTATGTACGTCATGATAATTTTACTGTAACAAGAAATTTCAATAGAAAATTTTAATTTCTGAAATGTATTGTATGTCTATGTTACAGAGGTTATTTTTCAATTACGGGGAAATTATTTGGTGGTTTGGTTGTTTTTTAATTGCCTACTTTAAAACACAGTTTTGATCATAATTATATGGGTGATCTGTCCCACTAATTGTTTTTTTTTTCGGATAACTTAAATCGGCCATTACTGATTTTTACCCTATTTATTTAGTGCCTAACTTGTAACATATGTACTAATTAATCCCACACGATTTCTAAATCACAAATGAGAGACAAATGACTGTAAGATTCAATGTTTAATATCAAATCTCACAGAGACATTTGTCTTGCCCACTGATCAAACCAGCTAATTTCTTGTTTTATCATTCAGATGGTCTTTCTAGATCTAATATGAAAATTTAGCTCCTAACAATATAGTGCCTCGGGTTTTATACTAGTAGCAAATGCTAATCACATTCAGTTTTCAGCAAATTAAGGATTAGATAAGGCAAGTGTCAGACGTGTATACAACTGGAAGGAATTTCTGTTGTTTTCCCCTATCCAGCCCAGACAAATTAGATGAAATATTTTATACAAGTTTTATTGTTTTCACAGTTGGCCAGACGAAGAGGGGGATTCGACATTACTAACCTTCGCAGTAGTAATTTAAGCCATTACGCTGGCGTTCTTCATTCTGCCGACAATCTTCAGGACGTCACTCATATACTCCAGGCGTTCAGCTGCCCTGGACGGACGGAAGCGTTACATATGGATGTGGTTGCAGGTCAAGGTCATATCTGGGTCAAAGTGGTTGCTAGGAAAGCGCAAGCTCTGCATCTTATATGGAGAGGTAATGTTTGCATTTAAAACAGCATGCCACCAGGTTCATGCTAATTTTTCATGAAAGTTCTGAAATTGTATTTCAAAGTAAAATTTATTGTGAAATGAACAAAAAAGTAATTTACTAAAAAAATACTTATTGAAATAGCATTTCTTATCCAAGTAAATTATCAAAAAGAGGTCAAAATATGCCAAAAGTATGTCCTTACTGCATTAGTCACATAGTAGAGATATGGTGATGAATACTGTCGTTGGAAAGCCAGTTGGTATTCAGTCTCTAACATTATAAATAAAACTCAAAGTCTTGCTTAGATAAATATTGTAATTTCCGAATTCAAATATCAAGAATATGTATATTTAAAATGTTTATGTTGTAATATGTAAAAATTGTATAAAAAAAATGTAGAATACTTACATGTAGTTTCTTTTTCTTTCCATTAAGGCCAAGGACAGTATGGTGAGAAGGATATTACTATTCAAGCCAAGGACTTTGTTGCTTGCTCAAAGGTCCACCCAGTGAATTTCCAGGACCCTAAAATCGTGTTCGCCTTTTATAATGGTGTCACGGCGGCTATAGCACGGGAATTAGAGAAGTCGGGCGTCATTGTCCTCGGTGAGATAGTACCTGTTGACGATGACGTCGAAAGAAAATTGATGAATCTAGATGATGAATCGGAAAGTGATGAATCGGATAGTGATTATGACACTTCTGATGACGATAATGATGTCATAAATGATGTCATTTTATCATGTAAATGCAGTGAAAATAATATAGCTTTTAGAAAGTTGCAACAGAATTGTTTAAAGTGCGGAAAGCCGTATGAAAGTGGATTTACTCCGGATATTTCTAGTTCTGATGGGATAAACAGCTCAAGTTGTACTATTGACCAAACTATAGAAAACAAAAACAAGTGCCACAATAGTGTCGAGAATTCTGTGATATCTCAGAATACAGACGATTTTATATCGGGCAGTTCATTTTCTGAAGAGGAACAAATTAGTGAAATTGTATCGAGTAATCAATCTGAGGCCCTCTTGACAGATTCATCTTCCAAAAACAAACGCGAAAAACATCCAATTGACAGCGATGTTAATCAAGCGTCCAACAAACATGATTGTTCTACATTAAATTCCATTGATTCTCGCATTTCCCAGATTGCTTTGCAAGATAAGATTAGACTAGAAATGAACACTGCTTCAGATGGCCGGTCACTTGAAAGTAATCATATGACTTTCCAGACAGACAATATGCCTGCAATTCCGAACTGTCCAGAAAAGAAATGTAATGACGAAATTGATACGGGAAAAAACTTGATCAGCAAAAATTATTTTAATCTTGATAAATGGAAAAATACGTCTGTGCTCTCATTCGTCCAGAGTGAATTATTACTAAACCCAGTCGTAGACTTTCATTCAATACGGCACATGCTAGCAGATAACGAATTAACCTCCATTGACAAAATTGGGCGAATCAATTTGGACATTACGGCATTGATAACCTTAGTGTCAGCGGTGGCTCACGGGGGCTGTTATTTTAGATTTAAGGAGAAGATTTTGTCTGAACAAGCTGCAGAGGAGAGAGAGGATCCAGTGCTGCCAAAATTAAATGCATTTATTGAAGGTACATGAGTTTCTATATTTAAATATATGGCTTTAATATTTGACAGGTAGCATTGCCTAATAGAAAATAATTGAGTTGAAAAATTCATCTGGCGGGGATCATTTTTTTATCGGATGATTTTTTTTTATGCAAAAACACCATCCGATTTAAAGGCACCTGGGCGGACATGGCCCAGGCCTTGCCTTGCTCTAGAATAGACACCAGTTAGCGAACGAGTATCACCAGGTACCCTGACGATTCATGTACAGGTACCAGACAGTCATCGTTTTGTCATATGGCGATCGCGCAACTTGAGTTTGTTTTCAGCTTAATTTTTTTGTAGTTGCCTAAAAATGTATCTGTAAATTCTTTTGGATTAAACATGTGGCCGTTTTATTTGTGACCTTGGCATTAAAGGAAAAACATCTATGTAGCTCTATATACATTGTAGTATTACAAAATTACATAAAGAAGAAGCAATCTTGATTTTGTTTTTGTGCCTACTACTGAGTAGAGGCAACTTATAGGGATCACTTCTCCATTGTCTGTCTTTCTATCACAAAAATTTGAATGATTTTGGCTGATTTATGGCTCTTGACTAAAATTATGTTTTTTGGCCTGATGCTACACAATAGAATAGCTGCAACATGCAATTGGCTGAGGAGACACATATGGTCACAGATCGCTCTTTAATTATCATAATTATGGTATCAAGGAAATGACAGTTTAATGATATATTTGGATTATTTGTTACATTTCATAAACAGGGAAAGAATTGTTTGCCTGTCAGACTGCAGTTGATAGTTTCCAGACTATACTCGATACACTTGGTGGTCAAAACGAGAAAAAGAGAGCATCAGAACTTTTGTCCAGGCTTACAGTTGTTCCCGATAATCCATCTTTTAGAGCAACAACAATTCCAAATACTGGGAAAATAAAAGATAGATCAAAAGTAAGTGACTGTACAGTGCTAGTGACATTTGTACACCAAAGCTTGTTTATTAAACAGGGCTCATCAGGCTGAGTGGTTAAGTTTTTCGACTTCAATTCACTATGCAACAAAATAATAGTCCACAAATAGAGGATATTGAACGAGTGTAGATGCAAATGGGTTTGCGACCAGCATGGATCCAGACCAGCTTGCGCATCTGTGCAGTCTGATCCATGCTGTTCGCTATCAGTTTCTCTACTTGTAATCAGAGACATAGATAACAGAGATAAGCAGCTCCTATATACTCTATTGAAATATCACTCATGCCTATAAAAAAAGTGAAAAATTAGGCATTTTGTAGCAAATAAAACTTAATGGATGTACATTTGATCCTTTAATATTATATACCATTTGAAAGGTAAATCTTTTATCTATTGCTGCATGTTAAAATATTGGTAACTTTCCATGCCTTTCACTTAGAAAAACATAGCAGAACATACCCACTGAGCCAGTTTTTTCGTCATATGAATAGTTTTGTAACAAAAATTAATAAGTAGTTCTCTTTAAAAATTGATGTATCATTTATTTAAATGGGAACTGTAAATATTTTTACCTGCAGCCATAGACAAATGCATAAGCTTTCAGAAAATGTATTATTTTCCTGATTTTGATATCTGGTTAATAAGTTTTACTTGCTACAAGTTTTAAGTTTAGCAGGCACGCGTGATATTTTAACTGGTTAGGAAGTTGCCTATCTCTGTTATCTATGTCTCTGTTGTAATAGAGTTGGTAAGCAAACAGCATGGATCCTGATCAGATGGCACGGATGCACAGGCTGGTCTGGATCCATGCTGGTCGCAAACCCATAATGTTGGTTTTGTTGTGACGCGGCTCAAATGTTATTTTCCTGGTGGTTCGAATAAGACCTCTGCAAACAGACAGTTTTTCACAATTTTTTTGTTTTCAATTACTACATTGTATAGAACACCCTGTTAAAAAGATGTAAAAGCTAATTAAATGAAACGAAGAGTGATTCACACTGGAACTGAACTGTTTAATTACAAAGTCAACACATTGTTTTGTGAGTCTTGAAATGACACTGATTAGTTCAGAAGCAATAAGTCTCATAGGGAAGAATTACCAACTGTGGTCTTTAAAACTTTTTTAGTAGAAGAAGAATTTCATTTTTGTTAACTCAGCATTATTTAAGAATACTCTCTTAAATTAAGAGTGTATTTGCAGTAGGAAAATGCATTCATTTACACATTGACATCAGTTTTAACAATACATTCTAATTGGTCTGCCCCAATTTCTTTTTTCAATACTCTAGTTTTCCCATTAAAGTTACATGCCTCCAGATGAGCCAAAATATTTCAAGAAATCAAACTTTAGAATATTTTTTTAGGAAGTTGTTAAGTATAAATGTACATGTTATTTGCAATTAATGACTGATTTTGCAGTTTTTATCACCATGTTTACACAGTAAGTGTGACTAACAGAGCAAGGACTATTTTTGCATATTTTGACCTTTATTATGCCCCCGCCATGTAATGGCCGGGGCATATAGTGTTACCCTGTTCCGTCCTTCCGTCCTTCCGTCATTCCGTCCTTCTGTCATTCCGTCCTTCCGTCATTCCGTCCTTCCGTCATTCCGTCATTCTGTCATTCCGTCATCATCAGTTTCCGTTCATTATCTTAGTAACGGTTGCACACATTCAACTCAAATTTGACATATAGATATGTCGTGAGAAAATACAGGTCAAGTTCGAATTTGGTCATGGTTCGATGATTTTTGGCAGAGTTATGCCCCTTTTACATTAAAATAATATGAAATTTTCAGTTTCCGTTCATTATCTCGCCAATGGTACAACACATTCAACTCAAACTTGACATATGGATATGTCATGAGAAAATACAGGTCAAGTTCGAATTTGGTCATGGTTCGATGATTTTTGGCAGAGTTATGCCCCTTTTACTTTGAAAATAATATGAAATTTTCAGTTTCCGTTCATTATCTCCCCAACAGTACAACACATTCAACTCAAATTTGACATATGGATATATCGTGAGAAAATACAGGTCAAGTTCGAATTTGGTCATGGTTCAATGATTTTTGTCAGAGTTATGCCCCTTTCACTTTGAAAATAATATGAAATTTCAGTTTCCGGTCATTATCTCCCCAATGGTACAACACTTTTAACTCAAACTTGACATATGGATACGTCACAGGAATGCGCAGGTCAAGTTCAAAGTTGGTCATGGTTCAATGATTTTTGGCAGAGTTATGCCCCTTTCACTTTGAAAATAATATGAAATTTTCAGTTTCTGTTTATTATCTCCCCAACGGTACAACACATTCAACTCAAATTTGACATATGGATATATTTTTGAAATGCCCAGGCCAAGTTGGAATTTGGTCATGGTTCAATGATTTTTGGCAGAGTAATGCCCCTTTTACTTTGAAAATAATATGAAATTTACAGTTTCTGTTCATTATCTACCCAACTACTCAAATTTGACATATGGATATGTCAAAGGAATGGGCAGGTCAAGTTTGAATTTGGTCATGGTTCGATGACTTTTTGGCAGAGTTATGTCCCTTTCACTTTGAAAATAATATAGATACATCTTAGGAATAAGCAGTTTAAGTTTGAATTTGGTCGTGGTTCAATGATTTTGGACAAACTTATCTTTCTTGAATGTTGGAAAAATTTTGAACTTTCAGTTTCAGCACTGAAATGAATGTAGACATTATTTTTGCTACAAATATGAAATATGCTATTTTCAAAAGGTTTAGACAGAATAATTTCAGTGCCTTGAACATTGTATGAAAATGGTTTGTGTTAACATTGAAAAGTTTTAAGGGCTTTGAACTTAAAATGAAAAAAATAATTTGTGCAAACAAATTTGGAACTAAATATTATAACATCTGAAATTTTGGCTGCATGCGGGGGCATCCGTGGCATGATGACACATTTCTAGTTTTGTAATATATGCAGATTGTAAGTGTAAGTGCTGTTTGCAATGTGTAAATTACTTTCTTTGTTCATTTAAATTTTTTTAGATATTTAAATACATTATCAAAATTTTCATGAAAATTAGCATGAATTTGGAGGCATGCTGCTTGAAATGTTGATTGAATCTAACTATGATTTGGATAGATGTTATTTATAATATTTCATCATAATTAAGATTTTAGAAATAACGAGCTGTAGACAAATGTTGAAACTCTACAAAGAGTTTTAATATTTAGTGCTTATATTCATTTAAACTTCGAGGAAACATTTTAGATGGTGTCCATAATTGGTTAAGGTCTTTGACTTCAAACCACTTGCCCCTCACAGCTATGGGTTCAAATCCGGACAGGAACTTTGGATTCTTTCATGTGAGGAAGCTTTCCGTGTAGGTGATTTGACTCACCTAGTGCCCATTATTTGTGCCTGAAAAAACACACTAAAGAGCACCTGAGGTCTTCTTTCACCAGTAAAGCAGAAAAGTCGCCATATGACCTATACTGAGGTTGAGCAACAGAAAACCAAACAAACAAAAATGTTTCCATTACATTGTCAAAAGCAATCGTGATATTTTCAAATTAAAATGTTAAGAGTTTATTTTCAGATAATATTTGGTACTGGAGATAGTCTAAGAGCTGTAACAGTCACAGCAAATTCCGGCTTTACACGAGCTGCTGCTCATCAGGTATATCTTAATCCTAATTTACAGTTATTATCTTATAAACTTATCTGAAAAGAACAATTATTGAGAACAGTTGTAAAAATTTTGGGTTTTGTTTGTGGGTGAGGTGAAGTTGGGTAGTGTTGGGTGACCTGGAATGAACTATTTCTGTGTCATGTGGGCATCTGTGCATTTTAGTAGAAACACTGACCTTTCTATAAGACCCACAGACAGCTTAAATTTCACTTTAAAGAAATAAAAGTCTAGGGCCAGATTTTATCCTAATTTGGTAAAGGTAAATGGTTCAATGTCATGAACCTCAACCACATGCAGCTAGTTGTTATTTCTTCTTATCTCATTGGCTAGAATGTTTATTTAGAACAGAAGTGAACAAATGTTTGTAATGATATGAAATTTGTTGAATTTCAAAGAAATCTTCCACACAAGTTTACATGTATATCTAACATACCTTCACTGAGGTCAGTAAGCCAAAATCATAGCATTTGAAATTTTTTTAGAGGTCATCTTTGCACTTTAATGTAGACAATTATTATTCAATTATTTTAAAAGGTTTTTAATTGTATTTCATATATTTGCTTAATAATGTCATTTCATTTTCAGGGTGTAACATTTGCTGCTTTTCTTCACGCATCAAGAGCACTTACAGAACAAAAGGAGAAAACTGCTGAAGTAATCAAAAGGGATTCCTGAAATTATATTCTTATCCTGCTATATATCTAAAATGGACTGCTCCATCTTTCAATATGGACAAGACCATTTATGATTTCTAGGGGAACTTTTAAAATAAGTAATGACTGAATAGTGAACTGCAGCAGTCTGATCATGATATGCATTGGCTGCATGTATTGGATAGATTCAGGTGCCACAAGCAGTACTGAGGTTCAAAAGTATGAATTTCTTACATAGATCAACTGGGGTTTTTAAATCAGAGAGATATGCAAGATACTGAAGAGATATACTCGGAATAGATTGAAAATCATACTTATATGCTATTTTAGCTTGTTTGAGTGAAAAGCGCTAAATTTTGGATCATTTGTTTACAGTTAGAATAATCATTTGGAAAAATGGAGTTAGCAAATGAACTGAAATTTTGCACACAGGTTATTAGTCCAATGGAACACTAATCTAGAAAAAATATTTTTCAGTCCTGTCGTGTAAAAAAAAACTCAGTAGAGTCCTTTTAATTTGTAGCCTTTTGACTTTTTTGCTCTGTCTTCAGATAAAGCCAGAAGAAAAATTGTGTTTAAAAGAGCATAAACAGAGTACTGTTTTGCCAATTTATTTCCCAATTGAAATTAGGTCCAGTTAAATATTACGATCAGTTCCCTATATATTGCCCATATCATTTTCTTGTATATTTTAGTGCATAATTTTGTTTTTGTGGATATTTGTCCTGTGATACACATATAGCTGTATTAGCATTTATACACATTGTCCAGATTTTTGTCTTTGTTTGTTTGTTTGTTGATTTTCTTGTTAAGGAATAACAATCTCATTTTAAGCATTGTATTAATTTTGAGATGCTTTATTTTATATCAGTAAGAAATGTTTTGTATCCTTATATTACTCATATGTAGGCATAGTGTTCTTTGCTGGACATTAGAGGTAAATGGGATTGATGTTTTTATGGCAGCAGCATACATGTACATTTAGACAAGACTGATTTTAAGGAATTAGTCTTAGGAGTAAAATACTAGGACAAGTTGCAGCTGCATCTTGGTATATTTTACATATTTTGCATAGTTATGCTGGGTTTGATAAAGGTGGATACCAAGTTGAAAAAAATAAATATTGACCATTGAAATGGCCATTTAAAAGAGACCATTAAAATGGCTTCCAAAGTTGAATATAATTTTATCATACAATGTATAATAGGAAAAGTGTATCAAAATCATACTTATAAAGGTAGGAAAAAACCTCAAATTTGTTGCAAAGAAAGTTTAATATATATCAAAATAATACTTCTTAACTAAAAGATAGGAACAATTCTGAAATTTGTTGCCAAGTCAGTTTTGGTAGAATCATATTTAAGTTACTTGAAATTAAGTCTGGCTGAAAATTCCAAGATAACTGGCATTATTTTGCCTTTGGGCTATATTATGAATAGTGATATTATGATACTTATGAATTTATGACAGCCATGAAAAGGAAAAAAACATGGCAGGATGTAAAAGACTGGTTTTATAAGAAGACCAGATTTATAACATGTATAAGTAAAAATATTGTCTACTCTAAATCTAAACTCTACAAAATCAATCCTGTCTTAATTTACAAAATGCTGGTTATTTCAATGTTAAACAATAATTAACATTATGTACTGTTCATTTATTGATATAGTCTTGAAGAAAATGCTATTTTGTTTAAGAATAATTATACCTGGTGAGCATTGTTGTTTTTGTGTTGTCACACTGTAATTGTTTAGTTTGAGTGTCTATCTGGCAGTCATGTTTTAAGGGTGTTACCCTGTATTTGTTTGGTCTGACTGCCCATATGACAGCCAGGTTTGTTTGTTAGGTGCAAGGCGCAAGCAAAATACTGTTTTAGGTATTAACTTGGAACATCAGGGCTAAATAGATTTCTTTTAAAAGAAGGACAGGGCCTAAGAATCTAAACTATTTTGGCATAATATTTGAGTTATTGCCCTTCATAACTTTTGGTACTAAGTTTTATCTCTGGAGCATAACGAAAAAAAAGTATTGGTCTTTTAATTTGGAGGTTTAATCTTATTAAGTAAATTGTTTACCTTTTATTTTGCCTAAGAAAGGCTACTGTTAAAAGAAAAATGATAAATCATTTGATAACCCATTTTAGTGGTATTAATATGTAGACAGTGGTGATTACTGTTTGTTTGTGCATAAAAAGTTATTTATGTGAAAGAATGAGTTTAACATAAAAGCAGTTTTGTTATAATACATATTCCATATTTCTGATGTTCAGTTAACATTGTAAATATGATTACTTTGGAACAATGTTTTGCTAATGAAATATAGTTAAATAGATAACAATCTTACAATGAATATATTGACAGTACAATGCCTGGATAAGTATTGAAGGATCCATATTAACTTACTGTGGCATATATAATGTGGCATTTTAAGCTGGACTATTTAAATAATACGGCGAGCATTTGTACTCATTAAGGCTTCAGGGACATGATAACACTTAGGTTAAGTTTTTGGTTGCAAGTTGGCATCTCAAGAGGTACTAGATAGTATGATTTCATTGTTCAAGGCCCATAACTCTAAAACATGGATTTTGACAGAATTATTACGCTTTTTTGAACATAGCTATTTCTACATTATCCAGACTCTTGTTTTACTATCAAGCACTGAGAATAGTTGAACACGCTGTCCTACCAACAGATCTTTTTATAGGTACATGTACAAAGTTATACCAGTCTTGAATAAACAATTCTATGTATAACCCTAGTAAACTGATTCACTCATTTATGAAATCTAAAAGAAGTCCATTAAAGATAGACTGCAACCATTTATAAAAATCAGGTTGCCCCTATTGTAATATTGTTAACTGTAATGGAATTTCAAAGAAGTCCATAAAGATATAGTGAAACCATTTAATAGAAAATGTAGCCCCTATTGTTATATTGTTATCTATTTCAATAATGTATCAAAAGGTGTCCATAATATTCTGAGACTTATTACTTTAACGATATGGTAAATGTTATTGATTGTTTGTAACATAACCCTACAAATAAAAATTTGTTTTGTTTTGAATAGATATTGAAAATAAATTTTACAAAACAATTGTATTTTTCAGTGTTGATGTTGTTTTTTTTGCTCCAAAAGTCTTTTATTACAAAATTGACTGATATAATGTATTATAACTGATATAAGTTAAAAGCCCATTATGCCCCAGGAATACTTGTACTTTTATAGTATCCAGAAAGTAAATCATTGGCCAGTTTTCTGAATCATCTATTTTATTTGTTGCTTTTTGCAATAAGTACAGATATAGTGATTTAGTATTTTGTATGGAAGTCAAAGCAATACTGTCTCCATTTTTCTGCTGACAAATTATTTCACATTAATTATTGCTACTTTCTTCAGGTAACAAGCATCTAACATTCTCTAAAACCATTATTTAAACATTATAAAATTCATGTTTGCCATTTTTAAAGAAGTAAAACGAAGTAAAAAGTAATTATTATTTGTATGTGAGGCATGAAATCTCATATTTATTCTTTTAATGACAAGGCCTTAAAGTGGATTGGTCTGAAATGGACACATCTTCTATCAGTATTTGTAATATTGATGAAAACAATAAAAAAATAGATTTTTCGGATATTCTTATAAAATATTTTTGAAAAATATGTTGATACAGTTCTACGTAATTTAGTATAAACATTGATATGATGAAAAATAATGATTTGTTCTAGAACAATGTATTGTGTGCTATATACAGACCATGTATCTCACACCTGTTGATGTAAACAAGTTTTAAAAAGTCGGAGCGTCAAAAATTATTAATATTGAAAGTAATTATTTTTCAAATGAACAGTTTTAGACAAAAAAATAATAGACAAAATCAGATTTAAAATTTCTGGTCAATTTTGATATAATTTAGATAATTTTCTGTTGTCGGAATCTTAAAATATGAGTGAGTAATGAACTTCGGCGCAATAACAGAAGAAGCGGAGACCGTCTTGAAAAAGCGAAGAACAATGGATCCATCGCTATGAAAGGAGAGACTATGATCTTAATGTAAAGAAATTCATTGAAAAAAGAAAACTACATGCAACAAAGAGCGAGAAGAATGTAACAATTAATAGAAACTGCTGGAGGTCTTAGAATAATTCTCAATACGGGTATTGTACGAACTTTTGAAACAATCTGTAAGATACATTCTACAGTTTTGAAAAAAATACTGAACAAATGCCAGAAATTCTTGTACATGACAACAAGGCAATCTTGTCGAAACAAATAATAAATTACATCCCGGAAGACAAGGGATATACACTTTAAATATGTACCAAATTCAAGTCGCCCCGGGTTTTATTTAAAAGGGAAAACAAACGGGTTTTTGAAAAAGATTACCCGAAATTTTAAAAAAATTTTTAAATATCGGGAAAATCATTTAAAAAAACCCCCAATTACATTGCTAAAAAAATAATTTAAAAAATTCACCCGTTTAAAATTTTTTCCCCCTAAAAAAAAAAAATACTTGAAGAATGTTCAACTGAAAATGACGGGGTCACGAGCAGCATAAAACCAAATTTCACCCCCCTGAAAAATGAAAAATGAAAGAAACCCAAAATTAGAAAGAGAAATTTTTGACCCTGACAATTTTAAGTCCCAAACAAAGATTTTAAAAGGAAATTTCCCTTCCTCTTTCCCGATAGCGTAGAGAGTAAACAAACAATAAAAAGAGGCCCTTTCCCAGATAGGTTTAAAAAAAGATGGGTTTGATTAGACTGAAATCTCAGAGGCAGGTAAATTCTAATGAATTGAATGGTGAAGTCGAACATATAAAAAACAACACGGAGGTAATCAAAGAACAAATTTCTTCGGTAAATTCCTGTCTGGTTCAAAGGCTACAGTCTATTTCAGATCATCTTCGGTCAAAAGCTAATGTTCCTTCTAACAGAACCGCTCATAATAAGAAAAATAGCGTGGAAAATAAATCTCCTCATCAATCTCATGATTATTCCCTAGAAATGAATTGCTCAATAGATACTCTACAACCAGTATCAACAGAAGACAAGATACAGGACACAAACCAAACACATGTGAAATATATAGAGCCTTCCATTAACAAAGTTAATGATTCAGATTCACCAACCAAATCCAACAGGTCCAGTAGATGGAAAACTCTTATTGTCGGGGATTCTATTCTGAAAAGGAATTCATACACGAGGTCTGAAAAACAATGTTGATGTGCTAACATGTCCAGGGAAGCAGACAAGTGATGTGTGTTTTCGTCTGCGCAATTATGATTTGCGTGAATACAAAAACATTGTTATTTACGTTGGTGGAAATGATGTGGCAAACGATGGTTCCGTTGATAAAGTTTACGAAGAACTCAAAGTTACCGTTGCTTCAATGCGTGATAAATGTGCTATCTATCTGTGTACTCTTTGTCCACGCCGTGATACAGATGTTGAACCAACTGATCGCGTAATTAAGAGAGTTTGTG